AAAAAAACAGTCGGAGTTCGCGAGAAGGTTTCATTTTCTTAAAAAAAAGGCACTTGGGAACTCCGAAAAGGTTGCATGTTCTTAAAAACAAAATAGGTGGGGCCCACGAGAAGATTTCACATTCTTAAAAAAAAAAAACAGTTGAAACGCCCAAGAGGGTCTCATTTATTAAAAAAAAGAACAGTTGGGATCACCGAGAAAGTTTCATCTTCTTTAAAAAGACAATTGAGACTCCTGAAAAGGTTTCACATTCTTTAAAAAAAAAGACAGTTGGAAGCCCTGATGAGGTTCCACATTCTTAAAAAGAAGACAGTTGGGGCCTCTGTGGAGGTTCCATATTCTTAAAAAAATACATTTGGGTTCCCAGGAAGGTTTTACATTCTTAGAAAAAAAAGACAGTTGGGAGTTCAAGAGTGTTTCATCTTCTTAAAAAAAAAATACATTTGGGTCCCAGAGAAGGTTTCATTTTCATAATTTTTATAAAAAAGGCACTTGGGAACTCCGAAAAGGTTGCATGTTCTTAAAAAAAAACAGGTGGGGCCCCCGAGAAGCTTTCACATTCTTAAAAAAAAAGTTGAAACGCCCAAGAGGGTCTCATTTCTTAAAAAAAAGAACAGTTGGGACCACTGAGAAGGTTTCATATTCTTTAAAAAGACAACTGAGTCTCCCGAAAAAGTTTCACAATCTTTAAAAAAAAAGACAGTTGGAAGCCCTGATGAGGTTCCACATTCTTAAAAAGAAGACAGTTGGGACCTCTGTGGAGGTTCCATATTCTTAAAAAAATACATTTGGGTTTTCAGGAAGGTTTTACATTCTTAGAAAAAAAAAGACAGTTGGCAGTTCAAGAGTGTTTCATATTCTTAAAAAAAAAAGACATTTGGGTCCCCGAGAAGGTTTCATTTTCATAATTTTTATAAAAAAAGGCACTTGGGAGCTCCGAAAAAGTTGCATATTCTTAAAAAAAAAACAGGTGGGGTCCCCGAGAAGCTTGCACATTCTTAAAAAAAAACACAGTTGAAACGCCCAAGAGGGTCTCATTTCTTAAAAAAAAATGAACAGTTGGGACCACCGAGAAGGTTTCATCTTCTTTAAAAAGACAATTGAGACTTCCGAAAAGGTTTCACATTCTTTAAAAAAAAATACAGTTGGAAGCCCTGATGATAATCCACATTCTTAAAAAGAAGACATTTGGTTCCTCTGTGGAGGTTCCATATTCTTAAAAAAAATACATTTGGGACCCCAGATAATATTTTACATTCTTAAAAAAATAGTTGGGGCGCCCTAGAAGTTTTCAAAAAGCCATTTGTGTTTCCAAAAAGATGTCACATTCTTTAAAAAAAAGACAGTTGGAGCCCCCTAAAAGGTTTACACATTCTCTACAAAAAGACAGTTGGGGCCTCCAAGAAGGTTTCACATTCTTAAAAAAAATGTCAGTTGGGACCCTCGAGAAAGCTTCATGTTCTTAAAAAAACAGCTGATGCACGGAGAAGGTTTCGCCTTGTTAAAAAAAAAGTTGGAGCTCCCGAGAATGTTTACACATTCTCCACAAAAGACAGTTGGGGCCCCCGAGAAGGTTTCACATTCTTAAAAAAAGTCAGTTGGGATCCTCGAGAAAGTTTCATGTTCTTAAAAAAAACAGCTGATGTCCGGAGAAGGTTTCGCCTTGTTAAAAAAAAAAAACAGTTGGAGATCTCGAGAAGGTTTACACATTCTCCACAAAAAGACAGTTGGGCCCCCCTAGAAGGTTTCACATTCTTAAAAAAAAGTCAGTTGGGACCCCCGAGAAAGTTTCGTCTTTTTAAAAAACGATAGTTGGATTCCTCGAGAAGGTTTAAAAAAACAATTTGGGTTCCCAAGAAGGTTTCACATTCTTAGAAAAAAAAAACAGTCGGAGTCCGCGAGAAGGTTTCATTTTCTTAAAAAAAAGGCACTTGGGAACTCCGAAAAGGTTGCATGTTCTTAAAAAAAAATAGGTGGGGCCCCCGAGAAGATTTCACCTACTTAAAAAAAGATAATTTGGGCTTCCGAGAAGGTTTCACCTTCTTTAAAAAAAGACAGTTGGAGCCCCCTAGAAAGTTTATACATTCTCTACAAAAAGACAGTTGGGGCCTAAAAGAAGGTTTCACATTTTTAAAAAGAAGTCAGTTGGGACCCTCGAGAAAGTTTCATGTTCTTAAAAAAAAAAAGTTGATGCCCGGAGAAGGTTTAGCCTCTTCAAAAAAAAAAAAACAGTTGGAGCTCCCGAGAAGGTTTACACATTCTCCACAAAAAGACAGTTGGGACCCCCGAGAAGGTTTCACATTTTTAAAAAAAAGTCAGTTGGGATCCTCGAGAAAGTTTCATGTTTTTAAAAAAAAAAGTTGATGCCCGGAGAAGGTTTCGCCTTGTTAAAAAAAAAACAGTTGGAGATCTCGAGAAGGTTTACACATTCTCCACAAAAAGACAGTTGGGGCCCCCTTGAAGGTTTCACATTCTTAAAAAAAAGTCAGTTGGGACCCCCGAGAAAGTTTCGTCTTCTTAAAAAACGATAGTTGGATCCCTCGAGGTTTCACATTCTTAAAAAAAAAAAAAAAACAGTCGGAGTCCCCGAGAAGGTTTCGCCTTGTTAAAAAAAAAACAGTTGGAGCCCCCGAGAAAGTTTCATCTTCTTAAAAATCAATAATTGGATCCCTCGAGAAGGTTTAAAAAAACAATTTGGGTTCCCAAGAAAGTTTCACATTCTTAGAAAAACAAAAAAACAGTCGGCGTCCCCGAGAAAATTTCACCTTCTTTAAAAGAGAAAGTGGATGCAGGATGCCCCGAGGCGGTTTCGCCTTCTTAAAAAAAGACAATGGGAGCCCCCGAGATGGTTTCACATTCTTAAAAAATAGTCAACTGGGACCCTGGAGAAAGTTTCATCATCTAAAAACGACAGTTGGATCCCCTAAGAAGGTTTCAAAAAACAATTTGGATTCCTAAGAAGGTTTCACATTCTTAGAAAAGAAATACAGTCGGAGTTCCCGAGAAGATTTCATCTTCTTTAAAAAAAGACAGTGGATGCCCCGAGAAGATTTCGCCTTCTTAAAAAAAAGAAAAACAGTTGGAGCCCCCGAAGAGGTTTCAAAAAACAATTTGGGTTCCTAGGGTTTCACATTCTTAGAAAAAAAAAGGCAGTTGGGGGCTTGAAGAAAGTTTCATATTATTCAAAATAGACATTTGAGGGGGGCCCAACAAGGTTTCATTTTCTTAAACAAAAGACCCTTGGAAGCTCCGAAAAGGTTGCACATTTTTAAAAAAACAGATGAGGCCACCGAGAAGATTTCACCTACTTAAAAAAAGATATAATTTAAGCCTCAGAGGTTTCATCTTCTTTAAAAAAAAACCTCTGGAGCCCCCGAGAGGGTTTTTACAGTCTCTACAAAAAACCAGTTGGAGTCCTGAGAAGATATCACCTTCTTCAAAAAAAAAGACAGTCGGGTGCCCCAAGAAGGTTTCATATTCTTAAAAAAAGACACGTTGGAGCCCCGAGAAGATTACAGATTCATAAGAAAAACAGGTAGCGTTCTCGAGAAAATTTTACCAACTAAAAAAAGATAATTCTGGCGTCCGAGACGGTTTCACTTTAAAAAAAAGAAAGACAATTGGAGCCCCTGAGAAGGTTTTCACATTCTCTACAAAATGACAGTTGGGGCCCACGAGAAGGTTTCAAATTCTTAAAAAAAAATAACGTTGGCACTCGAGAAGGTATCATATTCATAAAAAAAAAATGCGAAAACTATTTCGAAAATAATTCCTTTCCTCTTGAAGTGTAGTCGGACAAAACCCACTTCTTTAAAATATTATAAAATTTGATTTTGCTTTTTAGCTTTTTTTCTATACTTAAAGAAAAAACTAGTGGCGTAATTAATACTCCGTCGTTCGCACAAGTGTGGACAATATGAAATATATTTAAATCAAATAAAAAACGGAAAAAATATAGACATTCTATAGATTACAAACATCAGCGGTTAAAAGGAAATGAAATTTGGTTTTGTCTGCTCATCATCTTGCCACCATATATGAGGGGTATCTTATTATTTTATAAAATTGAAATAATATTCAGATTTATTAATGTAAATTTTGGAGAGGACGTCATCCTATTGTTAATGGGTTAGCGTTTTACTGTCCTAACACACATATAAACTTGACAACAATCGGTCCAGTAGTTCCGGAGATTATCTGTCAAAAAAAAATCCTGACAGACGACAGACAGACAGACGGACGTACACTCAGAAAGTAAAAAGTGGTAAAAGAGTGTAAACACTTTAAAAGCGCTATGAAATTTGTTAAAAAGGAATAACATTAAAAACTATAACTTTTTGTTGCTATAATTAGATATGGAAAAATTGTATTATACCCTGAATTTCATGTTTAACCGGATAAACATGTATTTATAACTAATTGAATATTTTTCTATCCTGGAAAAATAATAAATCAGTCACGCACATATCACAGCATAATTGTTATAGTTACAACCATGTGGAAACCAGTTTTTCTTGTCCTTAGTATCCACTTTTTCGCTACAGTTTTCATAGGAGGTGAAATCTGGGTGTGTGCAACCACATACGAAATCATTATTTTTATGTACTTAATTTTAGCTGCAACAAGGAAAACCCTACTGGGCTGCCGTTGGAGAATGCCTCGTAGAAAATTCGATGGGAGTTAACGATTTAATACTATTCGAGTCAGAAATGAAAGACCTTCCTAAAATACATTTATGTTTCTACAAGTGTCTGTACACAAGAATAGGACTTTTAACTACAGAAGGTGAAACAGTGGCTGAAAGCACATTCGGAATTGCTACTGTGAGGGGTATCAAAACGACAAAATTTTCCCAAGTAGTCGATTGTGTCAATCACGTGGAAAAAGTCGACACTTGTAACAAGGTACTAGATTTAGATCAATGTTTTAGTCCTTTAATTAACGTAAAAAAATAAAACTATTTTAATCAGTTATAGCAACATGTATTGGACTTCTCCCAACTTTTACACTACTTATCAACTACATCATAACAAAGCTCCATTTTCTTCACATCCTTACACTTCTTAATTTGTCCAATCGCCTCAATGCAGTCCATAAAGTTAGCCAGTTCATGTTTTGCAAATTTGTACCGTCCAGTAATCCCATCAATTTTATCAACGTTGATGATGTTACCCTCCTCATCTAAGACCCCTCTTTTGGTGAAAAGACACTTGACAAAACACAGCGCCTTGTCGGTTTCAAAGTCGTATTTTTCGAAATCTTCTTCGGTCACCGAATCATCGTTCATACATTCCGCCAGAAACTCGCTGTCCTAAAATTCAAACACGTTACGTAAAAGCTTAGTTTGAAAGCACACTCACTCGGTCTCCTGACGAAAGGGCAAAAATTGCGCACAGCACTAACGTGGCAATCGTCGACATTTTTCCAGTCACCTCGAACTGGTTGGACGATGACAACTGAATATATTGCGATGGGTTGCTGGAATTACATAATTGATTTCTCGCTAATGACAGTTATTATTGTCGTTAGGTCATCACCGGAAGCTTAATTTTAGTGTTGTATTCTGGGGTTATAATGTTTAGTTGTGTAGCAATGAAGCTGAACCGGCGTTTTAAAAAAGACAAAATAGGTGTTCGTGATGATTATTTTTAGGCTACTTTTATAACTCTCCAGTGCTGACAGAATTACAGAAAAAATTAGTTAAAATTTGAACACAAACTATTAGAACAAACACTCAAAGCAAGTTCATCAGTTTATTATAATCTCTTGGGAATCATGTTACAATGTCCATGAAACAATACTGCAACTTCTTCATGTCTGTACATTGCTCGATAGATCCCACTTCCTTGATACATTTTTTCAGTTGATCGGTTTGGGTTTCATTAAATTTGTCCACGCCGGCGATGAGACTGATTTTCTCCATATCGATTTTTCCGCTTTTTTCTATTAGTCCGTTCTTCATATTTAAGCATTTACTGTAGCACAAGACTTCGTCAGGTATATCGTCAAGCGATGTATACATTTTGATGTCTTTTTCGGTAAGATCGTTCTCCATCAAACATTCCTTTTTGTCTGCCTACAAAGAAAAATATTAAAATTTTTAAATTGTTTCAGTACACATAATTACCCCATCGTCTCCCAAACAAAGACCAAACGTGATAACACAAATTATCAAATAGGAGGTAATCATGTTTCTCTGATTCCAGAAACTGGTGAAAATTTGGCAGTAGCAGGGATTTATAGATCACGATTTCAATGTTAGATTTTTTTAACAGCGACATTAATTTTTGGCAAAAGTGATGCGGAAGTTAAAAACCAGATATTTACAGTTAATAATACAAAAAATGTGCAATTTAGTTGCTGCGCGACAAAATAATTTTTATTAAATTTGCCAATGTAGCTGATACTATTTATTTGTAGTAACAATTATGTCGAAGCGATCCTTCACGGTTTTTAGTTTTAATTATACGTTTTTTAATAAATGGATGATTGTGTTTGTGTGGGAATATTTTTATGGAAGCTTATTGAACATCGGATTGTCATTATTGTGATGTTATTTATAGCATAATTTGTCATGGAGTCATCCTTGGAGAGGAGTTAGTAGGTCCGTGATAAATCATGCTGATAAAGCGCTGAATTAAAAGATAACGAACAAATTTAGACAGAAATGGAACGTTTTTAGAAAAAAAGGCAAACTGAGTATTAAAAGTAGTTATGTGGTGGGGCTTCTGCTTCAATTTTGGGGGGAAAATCTGAATTTCGACTTATTTCGCGTGCCCGAAGTAAGCCGACCTTGGCCCAAAACTATTAGAATGATTGCTTAGGTATAGTTCTTCTATGTAGATATAAAATATATAGTTTCATATTTTTATTTTGGAAAAAAACAAAAAAAAAATTGGTGGAAGATTACTTTGACAGAACTTACATGAAGTATAGATTGTCAAATACAGCTCTTTCGAAGAATTAAAAAAAAATTGATTTTGGGAATTTTATTGTTTCTTATGTTGCAAGTGAGTTTTTCTACTACAAAATTTTGTGTCGATAACGAAACAATTTAATCACGTCGGCCATATGTAATCACAGAGGGGCGACTGAAGACTGAACTGAAAATCATTTATGGTACTCGTAATTTAAGACAAATAGTGATAACATTTATCAACCTATAGACGTGAGAGTGAAACAGAGACTGAATTAAAAGATGTTTTCTACGAATTGCAATAATAACTTGTCTAGATCTAGGAGAGGCTCAGCATCCCCTAACCTCCCCCTAGCTACGGCCTTGTCTAGGGGTTATGAAATATCGAGAAAATATGAAAGTTCCAAATTGCCCCACGGACTCCATTACTGTACGTCCTTAGGTTATCTTCGATAAGAAAAACAACTTGAAAGTGTTTATGTTTATACATCGGAACAATGTCACGTAGAAATTAATTTGATTCGAATGAGTTCGTCCCCTCAAAACAGAGGATCAAAACTATTAAGTAGTAAGCTACAATCGACAAAATGTTCTGAATATCATTATTATAATTCTTATTAAATAAAGACGTTTGTATTTTCAGATCTTCGGGAAAATGGGGTGACTCGTTCTTAATTTGATGAATAAAAACTATGAATGCAGTGATGAATCACAAGTAAAAACTTACCATATTTTGCACATTTTGAGCAGAATTTGCTCGTCAAAATTTTGAGCTAACGTCACCAATTTTTTAATTCTTGATTTATTCAGTAAAATAAATTGACTGATTTAATAATTTTTTAAGTCACCCTGTATAAGCAAATCTAAAAAATATGAATGCAATGATAAATAAATAAACAATTTTCGACACATAGTAGGCGTACTTTTTTATTAACAAATCACTTTTTACACATCGAATTTTAAGTTGTCAAAAGCAAAATAATTTCTAGTGATATTTATAGCATTAATTTGGAACTAGAAGTTCCTGCAATGTCAATGAATGAATCAATCTACCATTCAGTTTAGTTATTATATATAGAGTGATTTCTTAAATTTCTGCTCTAGTTGGCCGTGATGCTTGCGTCAGCCGTTTCAGTTGAACTGCTAACGTACTTTATGGATAGAAAGAAAAATTAGTCTCCATAATTTAGAATTTTTTTTATTAATTGTTACCTTACACAAATTTTGTAAGTGCACATTCTACAAAATAAAAATATCTTACTAAAGCACAAGCAACGTTGCATTTGCGAACCGTAAAATTTACTTTCAGTTTTTGTTATTTTGCTAAAAAAAATGCCATAATAAAGAATGTGCAAATTTTAAAGCGAGTATGTAATAATTTATTGCATATTTCCAAAGACAGCTAACATATGGGTAGTAATACAAAAACACAAAAGAAACTATTTCTAAAATTTAAACTGTCACTGCCAAATCTATACACTTCGCAATTTTTCTCATATCCAGGCATGTCACAACTTTATCGAAATCTTCCACACATTTTTTCACTTCTCCAAATTTTGATTTATCTAACCCTGGCAAAACTTCAAGAGCATCAACATCCACTTCACCATCAGGACCAATAATCTTAGTTTGTATATACAGACATTTGTAAAAACAAGCCTGATTTTCAGGAAGTTGTTCAGGATCTTTGTAAAGTTTCAGATCGTCAAGAGTTATTGAACTGTCTTTTAAACAGTAGTCTCTGGTGGTGGCTAAATCTCCTTCCATGGTTTCGAACATTTCTTTAAGCTATTGTGGCAAAAATTACATGAGTGAAGATAAAAGTTGAAAGATGGTACGCACTTACTGTAATCTCTTCAGCGTTAGCTTGAAATAGAACAAAACTGCTCCCCAAGAGGAAGAGATGCAGTAGATGGCTCGAATGCATTATATTTTATTACGGTGGTTCACTGCTTGTCACATAATGCTGTCAGGATATTTATTGTAGTTGAGTAGGGAGGATGCTTATTGTTATGTATAACGTTGAATATGCATAATTAAATTTATAATTATGTCAGGTGTTCTACAATTTTTATTGCAAGTCTGACGTAACATCATAATTCGCACTTTTTTAATATGTATTTAACAGAAGCAAATTACTGTTCCTAAATTTACAATCCTTTTTTTATTATTTTAAAGTAGCATACAATATACATTAGGTCAGCTTTTATTTCTTTTATTCTCATCATGAATTTAGCCAAAATTTGCCAAAAAATGTTGACAGCTTTTTTTTAAGACTAAATATCTAAAATCAAATTTACTTAAACAATTAAACTGACGAAAAACTGGGAAATAATAATAAGGCGAATACAAATAGGGAGAAACAACAAAATTTACATTAGTGAATATTATTTCAATTTTATAAAATAAGGTACTACTTCACATGGGGTTCATGAATCCGTGTTCAGTTTTTAACCTAGACATCTAGATTTTTAGAAGTAAATAAAAATTTTGTAAGATTTTGCATTCTGCAAAACCGAATGCTTTGAAATTTTGCAAACGTTTTAGGTTATTTTAGGTTATGGCTTCCAGATTTTTGAGAAAAAAAATTATATAAGAATATTTTACAACTTAACTTTGAAAGTGCAAAAACCTAATGCTGTGAAATCTTGCAAATATCTTAAAGTTATTGGAAGCAAGGTAATCAAAGTGCTTTTGGAAAAAAACTGAGTACGGTCTTGAGGAGACGAAATCACATTTCATTTCCTTGATGATGCTTGTAATCTGAACATGCTAATAGCAGATTTTTTTTATAAACATAAAGAGTAGAAGTTAAGCATGTACTGAGAAATTAAGAATATCTACATTTTTTCCGTCGGCGATCTGCTTTAAATGTATTTCGTATTGTCCACATTTGTGCGAACGGCGGGGTGGTAATTACGCCACTAGTTTTTACTTAAAAATAATAATAATAATAATAATTTATTTTATGGAAAATTTCCATTTTACAAAAATACAAATATGTATATTACAGTTCGTATATGAATGGGAGAAAAAAAAACAAAGCTATTTACCTTACAACAATAATTAACAAAAATAATTTAAATAATTCATATAAGAAAACTTAATGTTCTTTTAAATGTATAAATTTTTTTATTTCTTGCAAAAAAATTTGCAGACTCCATCATTCTTCGAAGAGGATGGTTAACTGACAAATTAGTAGCGACGGTAATAGTTCGATGCGAAGCATTCGCCATGGTTATTTTTTTTAAGAATGTGAAGTTTGTGAAGCCTTCTCGGGTGACCGAACGGTCTTTTTGTAGAGAATGTGAAAACCTTCTTGGGGGCTCCAAGTGTTTTTTTTTTTTTTTAAAGAAGGTCAAATCTTCTCGGAGACCCCAATTGTCTTTTTTTAAGAGCCTGAAACTTTCTCTGGTCGCCAACTATATTATTTAAGAATGTTAAACCTTCTCTAGACACCAATTGTCTTTTTTTAAAGAAAATAAAACCTTCTTAGGAGTTCTAATAACTTTTTTTTTTGAAGGAATAAGGTAAAGCCTTCTCGGCGGTCCCAATTGTCTTTTTGAAGAAGATGAAACCTTCTCGATGGCCCCAACTGTTTGTTTTGTTTTATAGGATGTAAAACCTTCTCGGAGACCCCAACTGCCTTTTTGCACAGAATGTGAAAACCTTCTTGGAGATTCCCAGTGTTTTTTTTTAAAAGGTCAAACCTCGGGGGGCCCAACTGTCTTTTTTAAGAGCCTGAAACCTTCTCTGGTTGCCAACTATATTTTTTAAGAATATGAAACCTTCTCTAGACACCAACTGTCTTTTTTTAAAGAAGGTGAAATCTTTTCGGGAACCTGGAATGTTTTTGTTTTAATGTGGAACCTTCTCCGTAACCCCGACTGTCTTTTTTTTTTCAAAAATATGAAATCTTCTCGAGCGTGCCAAATGTCTTTTTACTTCCCGAGCGTAAGCAAAGGAAGTATTGTAATCGAGTCCGTCGGCCGACTCTCTACTTTTACGTTTTCTCGATCTTTCATGACCCCCAGAAGACGAAGAAATAGGTCTTCCATTTCCATCTGTCTGTCCGTCTGTCCGTCTGTCTGCCGTCCCGGATTTTTATTAGACAGATAATAATCTCCGAAAGTATTGAACCGATTGTTGTGAAATTTTGTAGTTATATTAGGAATATCATGTAGATGGTAAAACGCTAACCAAAATTTGTCTAATCATCCCCACCACTAATGTGATGACGTCACTTCAAAATTGTACATAGTAAATGGGTTTTAAATTGTATAAAATAATATAGTCCTAAACATGTAGTTTACGACTCCGAATTGAGTTTTTACGCGAAACGTCCAGATTTTTGGAAAAAAAATCAAAATTATAAAACAACATTTTGCAATTTAATTTTGAATCTGCTAATCCGAATGTTTTGAAATGTTGCAGATGTTTTAAAGATATAAAGAGCATCATAAATCTTTACTCAAAATATATTTGGTTATCCCCTCCAAAAACTTTCGACGTCAGCTCAAAAGTTTGCCAAATAAATCCTATCTAAACTGTACAAAATATGATGAGTCTGTACTTGTAATTTATCAATCCATTCATATTTTTTGGATTTGCATATACAGGGTGACTCAAAAAAATTTGTGAATGCGTAAATTTATTTTATTGATTTACTCAGGAACTACAAAACCGAATGCTTTGAAATCTTGAAGGTGTTTTAAAGTTATCATAAGCATGGTAAGTTTTTGATCAAAATGTATTTGCTCATCCCCCCTAAAAAAATTATGACGTCACCACAAAATTTTGCTACATAAATCCTATCTAAAATATACAAAATATGATGAGTCTTTTCTTGTGATTTATCATTCCATTCATAGTTTTTGGATTTGCATATACAGGGTGACCCAAAAAAATTAATGAATGGGTAAATGTATTTTATTGATTTAATCAGGAACTCCAGAACCGAATGTTTTGAAATCTTGCAAATGTTTTAAGGTTATAAAGAGCATAATAAATTTTTAGTCAAAATATATTTGGTTATCTTCTACAAAAAACTGATGACGTCAGCTCAAAAGTTTGCCGAATAAATCCTATCTAGAATATACAAAATATGATGAGTCTGTACTTGTAATTTATCATTCCATTCATATTTTTTGAATTTGCATATACCGGGTGACTCAAAAAAAATAATGAAATCTACTGCGAAAAAAAACATAATAGACATGCAGTCGTCACGTTTCCGACAGCGAGGGAAGTACTGTCTAAACTCTTTAGATCAATTTTTTTCACAATATGAAACCTTCTCAGGGGCCCCTATCTGTCTTTTCCTTAACGAATGTGAAACCTTCCCGAAGGCCCTAACTATCTTTTTTTAAAGAAAATGAAACTTTCTCAGAAGTTCTAACATTTTTTTTTTTAAGGAATAAGGTAAAACCTTCTCGGCGGTCCCAATTGTCTTTTTGAAGAAGATGAAACCTTCTCGGTGGCCCCAACTTTTTGTTTTATAGAATGTAAAATCTTTTCGGGGACCCAACTGCCTTTTTGTAGAGAATGTGAAAACCTTCTTTGAGATTTCCAGTGTCTTTTTTTAAAAAGGTTAAACCTCGGGGGGCCCAATTGTCTTTTTCTAAGAGCCTGAAACCTTCTCTGGTCACCAACTATATTTTTTAAAAATATGAAACCTTCTCTAGACACCAACTGTCTTTTTTTAAAGAAGGTGAAACCTTCTCGGGAACCTGGATTGTTTTTGTTTTAATGTGGAACCTTCTCGGTAATCCCGACTGTCTTTTTTTTTCAAAAATGTGAAATCTTCTCGAGGGTTCCCAAATGTCTTTTTTTCACAATATGAAACCTTCCCGGAGGCGGCCCTAACTATCTTTTTTAAAGAAAATGAAACCTTCTCGGAAGTTCTAACAATTTTTTTTTTTTTTGAAGAAATATGGTAAAACCTTCTCGGTGGCCCCAACTTTTTGTTTTGTTTTATAGAATGTAAAACCTTCTCGGGGACCCCAACTGCATTTTTGTAGAGAATGTGAAAACCTTCTTGGAGATTCCCAGTGTCTTTTTATAAAAAGGTCAAACCTCGGGGAGCCCAATTGTCTTTTTTTAAGAGCCTGAAACCTTCTCTGGTCGCCAACTATATTTCTTAAGAATATGATACCTTCTCTAGACACCAACTGTCTTTTTTAAAGAAGGTGAAACCTTCTCGGTAACCCAAACACTCTTTTTTTTTTCAAAAATGTGAAATCTTCTCGAGGATCCCAAATGTCTTTTTTTTCACAATATGAAACCTTCTCAGGGGCCCCCATCTGTCTTTTTCTTAACGAATGTGAAACCTTGCCGGAGGCCTTAACTATCTTTTTTTAAAGAAAGTGAAACCTCAGGAATTCTAACAATTTTTTTTTAAGGAATAAGGTAAAACCTTCTCGGCGGTCCCAATTGTCTTTTTGAAGAAGATGAAACCTTCTCGGTGGCCCCAACTTTTTGTTTTATAGAATGTAAAACCTTCTCGGGGACCCAACTGCCTTTTTGTAGAGAATGTGAAAACCTTTTTTGAGATTTCCAGTGTCTTTTTTTAAAAAGGTTAAACCTCGGGGGGCCCAATTGTCTTTTTCTAAGAGCCTGAAACCTTCTCTGGTCACCAACTATATTTTTTAAAAATATGAAACCTTCTCTAGACACCAACTGTCTTTTTTTAAAGAAGGTGAAACCTTCTCGGGAACCTGGACTGTTTTTGTTTTAATGTGCAACCTTCTCGGTAATCCCGACTGTTTTTTTTTTCAAAAATGTGAAATCTTCTCGAGGGTTCCAAATGTCTTTTTTTCACAATATGTAACCTTCTCAGGGGCCCCTATCTGTCTTTTTCTTAACGAATGTGAAACCTTCCCGGAGGCCCTAACTATCTTTTTTTAAAGAAAATGAAACCTTCTCAGGAGTTCTAACAATTTTTTTTTTGAAGAATAAGGTAGAACCTTCTCGGCGGTCCCAATTGTATTTTTGAAGAAGATGAAACCTTCTCGCTGGCCCCAACTTTTTGTTTTATAGAATGTAAAACCTTCTCGGAGACCCCAACTATCTTCTTTCTCAAGAAGGTGAAACCTTCTCGGGAGCCCGAACGGTTTTTTTTTAATGTGGAACCTTCTCGGTAACCCCGACTGTTTATTTTTAACAATGTCAAACCTTCTCGGGAGTCCCAATACTATATTCGGTATCTAGGGTGGTAAGCTATGTTTACAAAGTCGAGGATATGGAGTTTGTAGGACCGAGACCAATACGTCGAGGTCCACAACATACCTGAGACAATTAAAATAGCTTAACACCCGCGGTGCCCAGATTATTTTTCGCAGGATCGGTTAAGAAATCATTCGTTAATCTGAAGCAGATTTAAAACATGACCATGACAGTTTTCTCAACGTAAGATTATTATCATGGTGAGCGCTTTACCATGCGAAAATAAATAAACCTTTAGATTATGTCTTTGAAATTCTTAGTAACTAGATCGAAAATAAAAAAAATCACCACCTACATTAAGAATAGAAACTTGGGATGTGCGAATTATAAAACAAAAGGAGAGGAATTAGCATAACTGATAAATCTCGTAATAAAACCTGAAGTAGAGATACTACGATACTAGACAGTACGGAAACAAAAAAGAAGGAAAGAAGTATGATAAGGACACAAAGGATAATGGCTATTCTGATTAGATGTAGCTGATTAGATGTAGATCAAAATGAAGGGGCGAAAGAAAGGGTAGGATTAATAATATCACTAGATAAATTAAAGGACATTATAATTAAAGAAAACTAAGTGATTGAAAGATAATATTAAAGATATTAATGACGATATTTGACGAAGAACGAAGATGCAAAATTTTATGGAGAACTGCATAAAGCAATAATAGATAAGGAAGAGGAAAATATGATAAGCAAGATTGAAGTCGAACATAAAGATTTCAGATTCAAACATAAATGCGCGAGAGAAGTAGCTAGCAAAAATATAAAGTCAATGATAGATTATTTTGTAATCAGAAAAAGAAAGTGAAAAACGGCAAAAAAACACTATTTAATCAAAATGGACATGGAGAAAATAAATAAAGAAAAGTAGAAAAAAGAATAGGTAAAATGAAACAAAAGATAAATAGTTATACATTTAAAGAAACAAAATATCGACAAAAATATCAAAAACCAGTAAATGCAACATTAAAGGAACCAGAAAGCAGCTAAAACGAAAGAAGGAATATAATAATTGTTCTTTTTTTCTGCTTGCCCATCCCTTGCCATAGTTCCCTTATCTTCCATACTTCTTTCATCCAGTCCAGTCCTCTTCCATCCTCGTTTAGCACTTTTTCCCTTCTTTGCTCCGATTCTCTCAATCCTTCACACCTCTTCAGCATATGCTCTATTTTTTCTCCCTCTCTCCAATATATCCTGCACCTTCTGTTCCATCCATCCAAAAATTATTCTCTTTCCCTTCAGTTCCACAACTAAATCTCGCCATCATTCTTTTCTACTTTATACTCTCTCTCTCTCTGTGTACTTTGGTACTTGATCCTTTACTATTTTTTTATACTCTGCATTATATCTAGACTCCGATATTCTCGATCTGCGCTCTTGCTTATCTATATCCTTATCTCTTAGACTCAGTTCTTCTTTCATACTCCTTCCCATTTTTCTCATTCTCTTTATTTCTTCACATGCATATCATTTTTCTTCATAATAGTTGTCTCATTCGTTCCAAACATGTTTTCCCCCTTCCTTTCTTATTTCTTTCCAATATTCTTGCAATATTTTGCAATCATCTCTTTCACTAAACTTCTCTTCAAATCCAACCGCCCTTTTACCCGCTTTCACTCTCATTTTCTCCCTTTTTGTTTCTTCTCTCACTATATACCCCCGCGTATATTTTTCCAATCCCAATGTCCATTTTAAGTATTTTTCTTGCACTCTCCCTATTTCTTCATATTCCTTCCATCCCCAAATCTCAGCTCCGTACGTAAATATACTTTTGATCAAACTATCAAACATCATCATTCTTCCCTTATAATCATGTCTAAATCCACTTTGTTCGCTTTTCGGACCATTTTTTGAATATGCGCTCTATCTGAGTGATTGCTCTTTAATCTATATCCTAAGTACTGAAATTCTTTCACCTATTCAATCTTCTTCCTTCTCCATGCCCACTCTTCCTTCACCTTTCTTACTCTCTTCCCAAACACCACCATTTTTGTTTTTTCCACATTCACTTCCAATTCCTTTTTTTGTACGTACTTCTTGAAACTTTTAATCATTGTTTTCATTTCTTCTCTTTTCTTTGCCACAATCACCAAATCATCTGGGTACGCGAACGACCACACTTTCTCTTTACCCACTACCACCCCTCCTGTCTGTGCTTGGGATTATTATACCTTTTCCCTTCCAGACTCCATCTACCACTTCCCATATACTTTCTTTCACTCCATCTGTCTTTTAATTTCAGGGACTTTATGGTCTTCTCTTCTTCTTCTCGTTTTTCTCTTTTTCTGTCTTCCTATTTTCTCCTATAATTCTCTCTTGCTTTTAGGTACTCTTCTTTCCTTCCTTTGTTATTACGAAAGAAGAAATATAACATGACTAACGTAAAAGACAATGATGGAAATAACATCGTTGATCAGAGAATGGACAGATCGTGACAACATTTCCAAGAATTGATTGAAGGCGATCTAGACGAAAAGGAAGAACATGAGGAGTGGAAACGGTACAACAAAATGAATTATCAAAAGCCATACGAAAAATAACATTAGGAAAAGCACTTGGAAGAGATAATATAACCCCAGAAATGATAAAATACATATGGAAGAAAAGAGAAGCGAACAATTAAATGAGCTAATGATTGAGATAATACAGAAAATAAAGACACCAAAAGAATGGAAGTCAGAGATAATATTGCCGATGCAACAAGAAATAAATGAATGGATGAAGAACACGGAAAAAAATGTTTAAAAAGATGGGAACAACATTCCTAGGAAAAAAGGAAATACCGAAACAAATAAAAATAGCTTCGGTAGTTCACACTAATTAAAGTAAAATCTTTAGAGCAAGTTTTTATTGCAATATTTCAAAAGAGAGTAAATATATTGGTAATAATACAACAATGCAAATTAAACACGGTTATTATGTTTTTCTTGCTAAAATTAATTTGCCGTCGCCAAATGAACACAGTTTGCCGCTTTTTTCACATCTCCACAGGTTACAATTTTACCGAACTTTTCCATACACTTTTTCACTGCTCCCAACTTTGATTTATCAACCCCTGGCAAAATTGCAAGAGCATCGACATCCATTTCACCATCAGGACCAATAATCTCACTTTGTTTATACACACATCTGATAAAACAGGCCTGGTTTTCAGGAGCTTGTTCAGGGTCTTCATACAGTTTTAGATCGTCGATAGTTAATGAGTTCTCTTTTAAACAGTTGTCTCTGATGATGGCTAAATCTCCTTCCATACTTTCGACGATTTCTTTGACCTGTTGAAGTAAGGATTACATGATGAAGTTGAATGTTGAAAGTTAGTACTTACTTTATTTTGTTCAGCGTTTGCACAAAACAAAACAAAACCACTCCCAAGTAGGACGAGATAAAGTGGATAAAACGAAAACATTTTTTATTACAGAGGTTGAATGTTTGTCATATTATGTTGTCAGAGGTGTATATTTATAGTAGTTGTGCAGGGAGGATGCTTATTGTTGTTTTATTAACACATTTTATGAAAAATTGTTATCACAACACATTTATAATAATTAACTCATCATCATGTCATACTTTTCATAATATTTTTTATTGCGATTCTGATGTAATATCGTAACAATTTTGAGTTATTTTGACTCAAAAAATACATGCAGTCGAACAACCGAAAAGTGAATTTATTTGAAATCGAAATGATCGAATGTTTAAATTTCATTTATTATTTGAGTCAAAATAATCCAAAAATGTTATGATATTACATCAGATCCGCACTAAAAACCTACCTACGCGTTTGACATGATGGCAACTTAATTGACCACATTAAGCATGTTAAATGTTTTGATAACAATTTTTCATAAACTGTGTTAATAATATAACAATAAGCATCCTCCCTACTCAACTACTATAAATATACATCTGACAGAAATTATTATGTGACAACTAGTCAACCACAGTAACATTATAATGTATTCGTGTTTTCTCCAACATCTTGTCCTTCTTGGGACTAGTGTACTTTTGTTCCATGCAAACGCTGAAGATAATACTAATAACAATAAAGTAAGTACTAACTTCCAACTTTTCACTCTCAGCATCTACTTCTTGTGTCAACAGCTCAAAGAACTATTCGAAAACATCGAAGGTGATTTAGCCATCACCAGAGACTACTGCTTAAAAGACAATTTAATAACCATAAACGACCTGAAAATCTATGAAGATCCTGAACGCGTTCCTGAAAGTCTGACCTGTTTTTTCAAATGTCTCTATACACAGACTGAGATTATTGGTGCCGATGGTGAAATGGATGTCGACGCTCTTGAAATTTTGCCAGGTTTTGATAAATCAAGGTTTGGAGAAGTGAAAAGGTGTATGGAAAGGTTGGGTAAAATTAAAACATGCAGGGATATGAAGAAAGCTGCTAAGTGTATTAATTTGGCAGTGGCGATTTAAGTTTTAGTAAAAAAATATAAGTAGGAACTGTTTTTATTTTGTATTCTTGTATTATTACACTTTGCTGTCTTTTAAAATATTGCAATAAAAAGTGTGTCTAAACATTTTGTTTTAATTAACGTGAATTTATACGATTCTAAGGTATCTTACATCATCAGAAGTAAGGAAAGATCGTAATTGTGTCTGGACTTAGGGACGGCTATGGAAGGTCTAATCATCCGCAATAAAAATTTTATGATGTGATTTCAAAATCCTATTTAAAATATGCGATGTACTTGTGATTTATTATTCCACCCGTAATTTTTACCTTGTACACGTAGGTTTTTGGACAAAAATCAAAACCAGCTAGACTGCCTAATTCACGGTATTGCATTAACATTCACATGAACAATGACAGTGAGAAAAAAACTTTAAATTTGGATATGGACACGTCATTGTTTCGGGAAGTTAAAATCCCCCGAATTTCGACAATAGCGCAATTAGTATTATAATTACCGGGAGCCCAAAAACCAAAAATTTAATTATGACATACTCTACCAAGGAATTTAAAAAACCAAAAATTTCCTGATGTCAGATTATTCGTTAAATCAAGTAAATGATAAATCAAATATGTGTTCACAAAAATCACGACGTGGATCGAATGAATTTTCAGTTCACCTAGAAATGAAACAAAAATAACAAAAGTTTCACGATATTTTACAACAAACTTTTACTTCTATTTTTAGAGGTACTAATTAAAAAAAGTTAAAATTACTTTAGTACTATCTAGAGAAACAATAGACAGAAGAGCCAATTTTGAATTTGCGTCACCATCTGTCTATTACGTGTACATCCAGCAAATATTGCAAAAACATTTTTGGAAAGTAAATTAAAGTGGATTCATAAACTGCAAGTACAGAAGTATGTGAACTAAAAAAGTAATAACAATTTGAAATATTTTGGTAGCAAGATGTACTCCTACTGGATATTTAATTATGTTCCTTTTGAAAACTTGTACAAAAATTCAGGGTTTTCTGCTATATCTATTTTCCATACTTCAAATTAAGTTCCATCTCCTGTCAATGCAATTTTTTTAAATTTATTTTGTTATTAAGGAATTATAATAAAAAGGCTTGAAAACCAGTCCTCTATGTCATTTTTTTTATTTATTCACAGTTCTGTTAGTACCTTTGTGCTAAAAAATTAGCACTCCTTGTTTTAAAATTTAACCTTAATTCACAGTAATTCACACACCATACATCACGTTAAAGTGACAAGTAAAAAAATTCGTGAATCCGACAACAAAATAAATCATGCAGGCAAAATTATTGTGAGTCTGATTATCCATTCAATTCCAAGAGTGCAGCTTTTAACGACAATAATTACGAAAAATTACCCCTATTAAACGCAACAATAACATAACCTTCACATCGCACCTATATATACCCCACTGTGGCCACACTCAAACCACAAAAATTTAAACATGCTCGCACCAAACCTTTTTAAGTTCTCTCTTTTCAGCCTAATCGTTGCTCTGGCACTTTCAGATGAAGCAGAAGACTTAGCAGTAAGAATAAAATTATTTTTGAACAATGGTGCTCAATTTTCATCGACAGTTGCAGGAATCGTTTAAACAATTAGAAGGTGATTTAGCCACGGTCAGAGACTACTGTTTTAAAGAACATTCAGTGTGTGTCACTGATTTGAAAAATTACGACAACGCTGATGATGTTCCCGAAAAGGATTTGTGCTTCTACAAGTGTTTCTACGAACAAATTGGTTTCATAGATGATGGGAAAATCGTTCTGGATGATCTCAGAGTTATTCCTGAAGTGAAAGATTTGGAGGATGAGAAGTACGAGGAGTTGAGTAAATGTCTGGGTGAATTGGACAACATTGTTGAGTGCAATGATCTGAGACAGATTGAGGAGTGTTTCAATGAAATCATGCAGTAAAAACGTTTGGTAGCTTAATTGCTTGCTTGTAGTAAATAAAAATTGGTTAATTAAGGTGCAATGTAAATGCTGCTGTCAGTTTTCATTAAATGTTTTTTCTTCCCCAAATTTTGTCTACAGTGTGTTTCGTGCGAACATTTTTATTAAATTATTTCAGAAACTGTTATCTGTGGCTAGTGATAGCCTTTATAAAGTATACAGAAGAAGATACAATTAGAAACATCTGAAATCTCCTTGTTTCTGTTTTTCCATAATCTTCTCTTTCGTGCTCTTTTTTGATATTTTTGGGGACCTCTTTTGTTTTTCTCTAAAGTTTTGCCTTTTTGTTTTTTTCATCCTCTCGTTTTCCATTCTGTGTATGTGGTCTTATTGCGCTCCACTGTTCCCGCGGGATTTTCAAGGGGTTCCGGGAAGAACGGAATAATGTGATGGGCTAAATTCGGATTTCGCAATTATCGTTACATTTTTAGATAAAGACGTTATCGAAGATGCCGGAATGTTGGTCTGGGAGAGGACAGAGGCGATTTATCGTTGTTTTAAGGGCTCGTGTGAGTAGAGCCGCAGGCTCGAGGAAAATTTTTGACAGCTGACATTTAAGGACTAGGGCGATTTGGGAAGGCTAGTCTAGGGGTTATAAAGCACGGTCGCTGGAGGATTGTTGAAAACGTTTACATTTTTCAGGATTTATTTATGTCAAAGGTGTATATTGTGAATTCGAATGTTTAATAAAGCAGCATTTGGATTAGTAATTGAATGCATCCAAACTGATAAATTTTGATGAAGTTCATATGTTTTTGTCCGGACTAAATGTCATGTTTGATTTCGAATTTAACTGAAATTATTTTATCATTATGTTGGATATAGTTTTTTTTTCTCTGTCTGAAAATGTATCACGTCCTCTTCCACCTCAGTTTTTACAGTTGTATGTTGCCAAAATCAGTCTTATCTTAGCAAATACTAGCCCCGCCCACCCACCCCCTATTTTTTCAGAGGATCAGTCATTTGCCAAAATACGTCTCATCATAGTAACTACTAGCTAAGATAAAACTGATTTTGGCAGATGACATACCCTCTAAGAAAATAGAGGGTGGGTGGGTGGGGCTATAGCTGCCAAGATAAGACTGATTTTGGCAAATGAGATACCCTCTAAGAAAAGACAGGGTGGGTGGGCGATCCTAGTACCTACCCGCTAAGATAAGACTGATTTTGGCAAATGAGAAATGACTTAAATGACGTATCCTAAAAAATTTAATTAAATTTTTTATAGAAAAAAGACTAGAAGCTCCAAAACACAAATTCTTTCCAAACAGAAATATCAGCTAGAATCTCAAATTTATTTTAAATTAAAAAAAGTCATAAAATTGACTTAAAAACAGGTCAGCTCAGAATTTTCCAAAAATAAAACACCAAAGTTCCCCAAAATTGCTTTAAATAATTTACAAAAAAAATCTCCATGAGGTCCCAAAATAATACACCATGTCCCCAAACACTGCTCACTCAAGACTTTTTCCGATTCGCATAAAATAAAACACTGAAAGCTCAAAAGATTTTTTCAAGTTCATCCAGCAACAAAACACCAGATTCCTTTAAATTTATCAGAAAATAAAACACCAGGGGACCTAAAATTAACTGCGAACATTTTAAAAATAGGGTTTTGAAATCTTTGACAATTTTCGATACGTCAAACATTTTTAGCTTATTACTCAGTTTTTGCTGATTTTTTTTTGCTCACAGGATGTCATTTGACAAAATAAGACTTACCTCGGCAAGGGCTATCTTCCCTCACGAGTTGCCTATTTGCTCAGAGGATATCATTTGCCAAAATAAGTCTTATATTAGTAAGAATTAGCCCACCCGCCCCCTATTTTCCCAGAGGATCAGTCATTTGCCAAATAGGTCCTATCTTAGTAAGTATTAGCTAAGATAAAACTGATTTTGGCAGATGACACACCCTCTAAGAAAAGAGAGGGTGGGTGGGAGGGGCTAGTAGCTGTTGAGATAAGACTGACTTTGGCAAATGACATAGCCTCTAAGAAAAGAGAGGGTAGGTGGTGGGCGGGGCTAGGACCTGCTAAGATAAGCATAATTTTGGCAAATGAGATATGACTTAAATGACATATCCTAAAAAATTTAATTAAATTATTGTAAGAAAACACTAGAGGCTCCAAAGCACTTTCAAATTCTTTCGAAATAGGAATACCTAGAACCTCAAGATTGTTTTAAATTTCCAAATATTGCCAAAATCACTCTAATCTTAGCAAGTACTAGTCCCACCCACCCACCCCCTATTTTCTCAGAGGATCAGTCATTTGCCAAAATAAGTCTTATCTTAGTAAATACTAGCCCCGTCCACCCGCCCTCTATTTTCTCCAAGGATATGTAATTTGCCCAAATAAGTCTTATCTTATCTTATCTTGCCTTTCTTCTATGATTAGATCTATCAGCTTTACGTTTAGTTGATTTCTAAATATCGTATTGTTTATTCTGTCTCTTTTCATTTTTTGTCGATTCTTCTCAGGATTTTCATTTCCATGACCCCAATTTTCTTTTATAATGACGATCGGACAGAAAGGCTGAAAGTCATTTTAATAGACATCCCTTGATCCCCATTTTATCAATTTTGAATAACAATCTACAGTGTGGTACTTTGTCAAATGCTTTGTGAAAGTCGATATATGTGATGTCAACAGGATCATTTTGGTTCATGGTCCTGGACCATTTGTCTAAACATGAAAGGAGACTGGTTGTTGTTGAGCGGTCGGGTAGAAAACCGTGGTGTGTAATTGGAAATAATCTCTGTTATCTAAACCAAAGAAAATAATGAGTTTACTGATAATTTTTTCCATTACCTTACAACACACTAACGTAAGACCTATTGGTCTGTATTTGCTACAGTCAGTCCTACATCATTTTTTGAAATTTGCCGTCACAAATGATTTTCATTTCTAATTCTGATTTTTAAATCTTCACAATTACGAATACAATTTTGGTAAACTTGTTTTTTACAACCCTCCAGAGGAAGAAACCTAAAGGTGTTAAGTCGGGTCTACGAAGGGGCTATGCATTCACACTGCCTCTGCCAATCCACTTATTTGCAAACGTCTCATCAAGATATATGGTACCTAACGACTCCCTGATAATGAGGTGGTGCCTTGTCCTGCTGAAACCACAGCTCTTGTCGAAGGTTGAGAGGAATATTTTCTAATAACCCCGGAAAATCATCTTCCAAAAATTGTAGATACCTGTGTCATATTAAGTTGCCACCTTTATGGAATAAACATTTTGAAAATGAGCTGTTCTGATCCAGTGTGGGTTATTTTAGGCGTAATAGTGACAGTTGTGCCGATTAGCAACCCCGTTCTTGCCAAATCTTGCTTCATCGCTGAACAAAACTTTGAATAAAAGATTGTTGTCCAATTCTAGTTGATGTCGCATAAAATTGCAAAATTGTATTCTTCTGGGAAAATTTTCTTCTTTTAGATCTTGTACTGAACTCATATGGTAAGGGTGGAACTTATTCGATCTCAAAATTTTTGAAACCGAAGATTGAGGTATTCCTACCTGTCGTGCTATAAAATTTTTGGGTCATTGTCTACGACTTCAATTACACGAATTTCATTTTCGACACCAGTAGCGCGAGGACCTCTATTTCTTATTTCTTTCGGCCAATTTTATCTTAACGTTTTTTCTAAACATCTAAAGATTTGGTCGCCATCATGGACGCTAAGTTAGTGTATGAAAATGAAACTCGTATTAATTCTGGGCCTAATCTGTGTTTACAACAATTGTGAATACCATATACTCGCAGGCTAAAAGACACATCTTCCATTAACTGATTAATATTTAATAATCAGTAAATAATAGACATATTTATCTTCTACAGTAGTTGAAATAAATGCAGTTTTATACTCACCTTTTAATAGTCGCATTACCGTACTTCATTTCATTGGAATTAAGTACCGATAAGTTATAAAAGGAACAAACAATAGATGCACTTGGTGGTATAAAAAAGTGCATAATGATAATTGATAATATTTAGCTGACATGATTGATACACATAATTTTACGGAACAAAGACTGGGATTTTATCTACTAGGTAATGTGAATATTTTTATGTAACGAACACGGATAATTTCACTGTGAAATGTACCTATTCCTAAAAAAACACTATTGTTCATCACTATGCATATGTGACCAATTAGGGAACCCGACAACGAAACAAACCGACAATGGTAACGCGACCAAATTTCCCATATCTCTGTACAATAAGTGACCTTCATTGTTTCATATAAATTACAAGCACTAGTGTAAGCACATCATACAGTTGTGTAACAAGAAACCAAGCATGTATTCCCTGAAACTAGTTACCTTTGTGGTGCTTTCCTCCATCCCCTATTTCTGTTACGGAGCCAAGAGAGAAGATTTTGACGTAAGTGATTCGATCTAGCAACTTATCACTTTAACAAAGTTAACACTGTTAACAGTTACAGAAAATGTTTGAAGATATGGGCGAAGAAGGGAACAAGATGAGAGATGAGTGCTTCACGGAGAATGAAATGAGTCTTGCGGATTTACACGACTATGATAAAGCTGAGGACATCCCGGAAAAAGAACTGTGCTTCTACAAATGCTTCTTCCAAAAATCTTACGTTGTTGATAAGGACGGTAAAGTGATTATTGAAAGTATTAAAGCAATCGAAGAAGTGAAAGACCTGGAGGAAAGCGACCGTGAAACGTTTACTAATTGCTTGAAGGAAATCAAGCCGGTGCTGGAATGCAAAGATATGGTTGAATTTGAGAAATGTTTTGATCAAATATTAATGTAATGTGTATACTGTGTGTGAGAGTGAAATATCTGGAAATAAATTTTTTAACTAGAAATGTGTTTGGAAACTTTGTTACGCTTCGAAATCGAGGTGGCAACTTAACTGTTTCAAATTTTAAGAGGACTGGGGTTTTCAGATTTTATGCAAAATTAATGTTAAGGGTATAGAAACATATTTCTACAGTGTTTTTAATATTTACTTAGTATTTGAATTTTGTCAATTTTCCACTTTGTCAATTGTAAATTTCTTTTAAAAATTCAATGAAGTGGAATTAAAAGACTTCTGGGAAGAATGGCTGTATAATTCCTAAATATGGGACAGATTATAATGCCCTCGCTCCTCTTTCGGGAAATCTTTAGTCCTTCCACACATCCTTCATTATTTCACAATTCTATTTGTCTCCTCTTAGTGATTTTCCTCTTTTCAGGCGCTCTATTACTATTACTATGGGATTGTCAACGAAGAGGCGTGGGAAGAAATAGAGAGTTTTAAAGTGGGGGAAAGGGTAGAATCAGACCACATGCCACTAGAAATAAAACTCAAATAAAAAGAGCAAGAGTACGAAAAACAAGAGAGGAGAAACGAATGAAAAGAAATAGAAAAAAGAATATGGGATAAAGAGGAATTTCAAAGATACAGAAGTAGACTAAAAAAAAGAGAAATTCGAAGTAAAAGAATATATATATATACAACCGGTTCCTCTTCTACCGTTAGGTGTTGAGGGATAGATGTCCATTACTTTCTGATGAGTTCTCTCCACTGTTTTTTATTGAGTGCCGTTTGTTTCGCTTCAGGCCAGGTAATTCCTCTTCGTTGTAGTGCTTCAGAAATCACGTCATTCCAACGTTTACGTGGCCTTCCTTTTTTTACTGACTTCTTTCTTATTAATAAAACCTTTTTTCAAGGAATGGTATAGTTTTGTTGTTTTCGCAATTCTACTGTCTAGTTCTTTTTGTAGTTTTCCTTCTTCATCTATCTTGACTCCTAAATACTCATATTCTTTTACTTGCTCCACTTTATTTACATTCAGAAGTAAGTTAATTTCTTTAGGAGAATTGGATATGACTAGGGCTTTTGTTTTGTCAAGATTGATTGTCATTCCGTTAACTGATAGTTCTCTGGCCCAAATGTTTATATTGGTTTGAAGTGTTTGCTCGGAGCTCGCTATTAGTGCAATGTCATCTGCAAATATACATTCACTCACTTTAATGCTTCTTAATCGATAGTAACCAGCTTCTGTTCTTTGGGATTGTGCACTACATTTATTTATGATGCCATTCATGAATATCAAGAACAATAGTGGACTCAGCACCCCCCCTTGTCTCACTCCCTGGGTTGTTCCAAATCTTCGGGACTCACAATTAAGTGTTCTCACTATGTTCCAGCTTGATTTGTAAGTGGATTTGATTGCTTCAATTAGTCCGGGTTCGACTTCAGATATTCTTAATGCTTCCCAAATACATTTCCTAGGGACTTTATCGAAGGCCTTTTCCATATCTATAAAACATATGTACAACTCTCTATTGTGTTTCAGGAACTTTTCGGTTAATTGCTTAATGGTGAAGATATGGTCCTGTACACTATGTCTGGGTCGGAATCTACTCTGCGCATCATGCAGACTATTTTCTATCGAGTCTCTTAGTTTCTTTTCTAGTAAAATCTCATATACTTTCCCTAGTACGCTTAGTATCGAAATTCCCCTATAGTTCGAACACCTCTTTCTTTCTTAAACATAGGGATGATCACTGCAGTTGACCAGTCTTCAGGTATTCGTTTTTGTTTCCAAGCCCCATTCATTATATTGGAAAAGTATTTGGTCGCTGATAGTCCCATACTTATACTTCAGCCATTCCGCTTTAATCTCATCAATGCCTGCTGCTTTCCCGTTTTTCAGTTTTCTAATGGCTGCAGTTACTTCTTGTATCGAAATGTCTTCGTCTCTGATTGTTGTGTAGTTGCTTCGATGATCATTTGGTGTTTCTTCTGATTCATATGCTTCTAAAAGTTCTGAGAAGTATTCTCCCCACCTATCAGCAATATCTGCAGGTTCCGTAGGCAACTCCCCGGTTTTGTTCATTATCTGGCCTAGGGAACCTCCTGATTTTCCTCTCATTCTCTTCAGGACGCCGTCGAACAATTTTTGATTTTGCTTGCTGTTTTCTTCCATTTTTTCGCCAAATTGTTCGCATTCCTTTACTTTTGCTTTCTTCACTATATCTTTGACTAGTTTTCTGCCCTCTTTATACATTTCATATGATTGTCTTGTACTATTTGCTAGATAAGCTTTCCATAATTTTTTCTTCTCTTTAATAGCGAGTTTTGTTTCTTCACTCCACCAGCTAGTTCTTTTCTTAGATCCTCCTGTCCTAGTAAATCCACAAACTTTTCTAGCTGCATCATAGATTGTATCTTTAAAGAACTTCCACCTTTGTTAGAGTGTTTGCTGCTGTACCCCCATTCCTTTAAATTTCTCTTCTGTAAGGTTTGTGAAATTGCTTCTTATTTCTTCATTGGCTAACTTATGTGTCCTTACAGTTCTCTTCTCTTTACTTGTTGCTTTCATTGTGTCTTTGGAAATGTTCGCTTCTTTTAGATTCATTTTTGCCACAACTAGGAAGTGGTCACTGCCCAATTCCGGAAGTCTACTGACTTTAACATCGTGTATTTTGTTTCTCAGATTTTTTTCTGTTATGATATAGTCGATGATTGACTTTTCATTTCGTCCTGGCGCAACACGGGTGAATTTGTGTATTTCTTTGTGTTGAAACCATGTATTCAAAATTATTAGTCCGTTTGAGTTACAGAAGTCAATTAATAGTTCGCCATTTTTATTTTTAATTGTCTCTCCAAAACTTCCTATTACCCCATTGCTATTTCTTGCTTCATTGCAAACTCTAGCATTCAGATCACCAACTATCAAGATGGGACTGCTACTTTTCTCATACACTTCCTGTATATCATCCCAAAATTTTTCTGTACTATTTTTATTGTCATTTTCATTGGGTCCGTATACTATTATAACTGTCCAAAACTCGTCCTCATCAAATCTTACTTCAACGACCATAATTCGTTCATTAACTCCTTCCCACCTTTTTATTCTGCTCATAAGATCGTTTTTGACAATACATCCCACTCCTGCTTGCGCCCATATTGATGATTCTACACCGCTATACATTATTGTGCAATCTTCCACGATCATTTCTCCTGTTCCTTTTTTCTTTATTTCAGTTAGTGCTAGTAATTTAGATAGATTTTTTAAATTCTGATGTTAGTTCCATTTCCTTGCCTGTTATACTCCTACACTCCTAATATTCCATGTTCCTATACGTACTTTAATTTCTTTTGCTTTATTTTTTTGTTCTGTATTTTTTATAGGGTATTTTCCTATCGTTCTCCTATCCCTTACTTTTTGTTTACCCCTTTTATTCCCTTGTTCTTTTCCCTTATTTTTATTAAAACTATTTAGAACCATATTCTCATCCATTTTCACAGCATTTGTCTTTTTATTTTTATCATTTGGAGCATATGTCTTTAGTTTTTTGGATCAACTTCGTTTTGTCGAGTTATGTTGTTTACTTTACTATTCCACTTCCACTTCTCATTGTTTATAACTAGGAAGTTATAACCTTTCTTTACTATTTTTCCTTTCTTTTTTTCTTCGGTTGCACTATCCCTTAGTCTTTTTTGGGTTTCTTGTTCCTTTCTCGTTAGATCACAATCGATGTAGATTGCCTCGCCTTTCCTATTAATCAATTTTCCTTTCGCTCTGAGTATTTTTACTTTGTCTTGGAAATGTTTCAATTCCATAACACAGGTCTTTTCGTTTATTTTATAGGCCTTGTTTATCTCCACCTCCGTGTCTAATTCTTTTTTCGTAAAATTTTCCATGGCTTCCTTTATGATTTCATTTTCACTTGTATCAATTTTTAGTCCTTTGACAATTAGGTTATTTCTCTTCTTATCCCTTTGAAACATTTCTAGAGCCGATTCAACAATTTCCATCCTCTGCTTCATTTCCTTTATTGAATTTTTTAGTTCCTCATTTTCTTTTGCTAGTCTATTCATTTGATTTTTGTATTCGTTGTTTTCCTTTCTTACTTCTTTCATCTCAACTATCATACTTCCCATCATTTCTTTTAGTTCAACCATTTCGTTCGCTTTAGTTTTGTTGTCCATCAACAGTGTTCTCAACATTTCTCGTAATTCCTCATTTGGATCGTTTTTTTCAATGGCTTTTTTTTCCGGTGATCTATAAGTTTTCTTAGTTTTTATAAATACGTTTTCTTCTTTATCATCTCTTTTTCTTTTACCGTCGTCAGATGTGCAATCGTCGCTATCGGTGATGTCCTTAAATGTTGGATTCATTTCTTCTTAATCCGCGTGTTGTGAGCACAGCGCTAAGAAAACTAATTCGGATCTACTCCTCGGAAATTAGTATTTCTCTCCGTGCCGCCGCCGCTTTTCCGCACAGTCCGGCAATACCGCGCTCAGACGTTGTCTTATCGCACCGTATTTTTCCGTCTTATCAACTAACCTAAAAGAAGATATAGAAGCTATGATAGCAAAACTGAGCAACCTAATTGTAGGAGCTAGGGATAAAAGAAAGATATACATATGGCAAGGGATGGAAGAAATGTGGAGAGGTTCGGAAATAACAAAAGACAGATTGAAAGACTGAAAAGAGGAAAGGCACCAGGAGGGGATAGAATCCAGAACGAAACGTGGATGTTTGGGACAGAAGGAGTGAAAGAAAGGATATGGGAAGTGGTAGATGGAGTTTGGAAGGGAAAAGGTTTTCTTCGTCAGTGAGGAGAAGGTATAATAATCCAATTATTTAAAAAGGGGCAAAAAAGTGATGTGAAGAACTACCGAGAGATCACCTTGCTCAATACGGCGTACAAGATATACGCAATGATACTAGATGAGAGGTTACGAAAGGAGATTGAAGCAAGGGGTATGTTACCAGAGTGTCAGGCAGGGTTTAGGAACGGAAGAGGTACAATGGACAATGTGTATATCCGGCGGCATTTAGTGGGAAAAGAAATAAGGAAAGGGGGTGAACGAATGTACACATTGTTCATAGATTTCAAAGCAGCGTTTGATAGCTTGAATAGAGAGGAAATGTGGCAGCATTTGAGGAAAAAGGGAGTAAATGCGTACCTGGTAACGAAAATGGAAGAAATATATGAAGAAACAGTAAGTAAGGTGAGAATGAATGGAATAAAGAGCGATAGTTTTTATACAAATAGAGGAGTGAGACAGGCATGCCCACTCAGCCTAGGATTGCTTGCAGCTTATCTAGGAGATATAGATGAAATGTTCAGAAAAGCACAGACAGGAGGGGTGGTAGTGGACAAAGAGAAAGTGTGGTCGTTGGCGTACGCAGATGATTTGGTGATTGTAGCAAAGAAAAGAGAAGAAATGAAAACAATGATTAAAAGTTTCGAGAAGTATGGAAAAAAAGGAATTGGAAGTGAATGTGAAAAAAACAAAAATGGTGGTGTTTGGGAAGAAAGTAAGAAAGGAGAAGGAAGAGTGGGCATGGAGAGGGAAGAAGGATGAACAGAGGTGAAAGAATTCCAGTACTTAGGGTATACATTAAAGAGCAATAACTCAGAAAGAGGGCACATTTAAGAAATGGTCCGAAAAGTGAACGAAGTGATAGGATTAGTATGGGGAATAGGATAGAGAAATTTTGGACATGATTGTAAGTGAAGAATGATGATGTTTGATAGTTTGATCAAAGGTGTATTTATGTACGAAGCTGAAATTTGGGGATGGAAGGAATACGAAGAAATATAGAGAGTGCAATAAAAATACTTAAAATGAATATTGGGATTGGAAAAGTATACACCGGGGTATATAGTGAGAGAAGAAACAAAAACGGAGAAAATGAGAGTGGAAGTGGGTAAAAGGGCGGTTGGATTTGAAAAGAAGTTTAGTGAGAGAGGTGATTGTAAAATATTGCATGAATGTTGAAAAGAAATAAGAAAGGAAGGGGGAAAACATGTATGGAACGAAAGAGACAAGTATTATAAAGGAAAGGGATATGCATGTGAAAAAATAGAGAGAATGAGAGAAATGGGAAGGAGTATGAAAAAAGAACTGCCTAGATATAATGTAGAGTATAGAAAAATAGTAAAGGATGAAGTACTAAAGTACACACATAGAGAGAGAGTATAAAGGAGAAAAGAATGATGGCGAGATTTAGGTGTGGAAATGGAGAGAAAGAGAATAATTTTTGGATGGATGAAACTGACAGAAGGTGTAGGATATGTTGGAGAGAGGGAGAAACAATAGAGCATATGCTGATAGGATGTGAAGGATTGAGAGAATCGGAGGAAAGTAGGGAAGAAGTGCTAAACGAGAATGGAAAAGGACTGGATGAAAGAAGTATGGAAGACAAGGGAACTAAGGCAAGGAGTGGGCAAGCAGAAAGAATAGAACAATTATTATTACTATGTAAAACTCGAATATTTACTTTATAGGCAAATAATTAATTAATTGTAATAATCCTTAGTCCTTCCACGTATCGTTCATTATTTCAGTCTCCTCCTAGTGATTTTCCTCTTTTCAGACGCTCTATTTGCCTTGTTACTTCTTCTCTACTGATTTCTTCTTTCCCCTGGGTAGGGTACATCGAGTTTTTACCTTTGACCCTTTTCTCATTCGCTTCTAACAATTCCATAGAATGTTTCCACCATTGCTTAATCTTAATTTATTCTGTATCTGTTGTCTTTCTTTCTTTATTAATGTAGTTTCGCTTCTTGCTCTATTCTAATCGTTCTGCTTCTGTCTTCTTCCTCTTTTTCCTTCTGCCTTTTCTATTATTCGCATTTTGGTGTGTACTTATTTCTTATTTTAAGATATTCGGCTTTAGTTGCTTTGTTTTTTCTCCAATTCCTCATATGCTCTCTTAGTAAGTGCAAGAAGGTATTCGTGGTTCAGTGTTGGATCACTCTTACTACATATACTTACTTCCAAGGGAGGACAGATGTGTAGTGGCATCGAGCAACCGTTTTCTTTTTACATCAACCAGAAGACCAAATTTGGTCAAAAAATCTACTCCGATAATTGGGTTTTTGACTTCTGCGATAATAAAGGGCCAGCAGAACTGCCGATGCAACACCAGGTCCAAAGCGAAGAAACGTTCTCCAAAAGTTTCAATTAGTAAACCGTTCGCCCAGATTATGTTGTGTCGTTTCAACCAATGGGCTTAGTTGTTTTCCGGCATCGACTGTTGTTTTTTGAAAGCGCAAGGTTGGATACATTTCTTGGTTTTTGCAGCAAATTTTAAATGGTACCAACACAAGTTTTTCCTGACGGGTGAAGAAATAATGAATGTAAGTTGAGCAACCTGGTCTACAAGCTAAGAAATTTGGTCCACCAATCTGTTCACCTCAGAATTTTCAAAAGTGCGTGAATTCGGTGAACTGAATTCGCTAATTTTATCTGCCATCAAAGTCAAATTATCCAAACTGTCGTTACTAGAACCCAAATTGGATCCGACACTGGGTAATCGTCGTATAAACATGATTCTCAAAAAATCGTCCTGCACTTGCGTTCCGGTTAATGTGTGACCTTTATTTACGACACAAAAATATGAAGGGAAGAATTTTATTAACTTTCTTTATCAAAGGGCTTTATGAAAACTTATTAGGAGTTCAAATTGATGAAAAATTACATCGCTTGGTTCACACTTCGCTGTGAGAGGAGTGCCAAGAATAAATATTCAAAATTCAGGTCGAACACATAAATGATAAGACAAAATCAGCATGAAATCGATGTCCCTCTTTGAATTTACGATGACATTTTTTCACTAATAATTTTCAAAGCGTACCAATGTTCAAAATAAAATCTTGAACACTGCAAATTACTGTTTTAAAATTCTCAAATGAGAATCCATTACATTTAAATAATGACGTAGGAAAAACCACCCATTTCTTTAGACATATCGCAATTTAAATATTATAAAATATTGCATATCTTGCTTGTATAATATTGATAATTTCTTCGTTGTCACGCAAGGAAATAAAAATGTGTAATTTTTAGAGATTTCGAGAAATAAAATAACAGTTTTACCTGATTGAAAGTCTGAACGCGTCCTAAAAAATCTTCCAGTGGTCAATCTAGTCTAAAGAATAAATGAGATAGATGGGCGAACTTTACAAATAAAATGAAACATACAAGTTTCAAAGACTTGTGACCTTGCTACTGGAGACTTGCATCCTTTTACTACCACTGACTGAATAAATCTTCCTGTCGAGTGGAGAATCTTCATTACCCCATAAAATGCAAATCGTCTTGAAAAGGGGTTTTTTGCGTTAAATTTAATTCAAAACGGGACACCACACCCTTAATACTTTTCTCGTATCAAACCAGATATTTTTTCTTTCTCTTCTGTAAAATTTGCAGACACTATCGACCATAAATTTTCACTAGGACTACAAAAAAGTGACCGGACTAGCCTAATATTACAAATTGCTATAATTTAGAAGTAAAATAACCCTATCTAAATTTTGGACAACAATATGTTTTACGTACATATTTGTTAATTAAGTGTAATTATTTTCCATATGCGTGTCTTAATTTGTAGCCTTCACGCTTTGAATGTACAGAAATACAACAATAAAATGTGCCTATATAAGCTCAATTTATTTGGCAACTTCTGTACATTTAGTTGCATGGAAAAACCTTTTCCAAGTACCAGCACACAAAATGTTTACTTTCTTGTTGAGTTTAGTGATTATCTGCGCTTTTGTTGTTGCAGAAGACTCTAGTCTAGTGAGCAACTACAAACTAACTACGAACAACCCTTGATTAACATTTTTTTTAGCTTGCTGATGAAAAAACATGGAAAGAATGCTTAGAGGAGAACTCGATGACGATGGAAGACTTGAAATCATACACAAACATAGCTGAAGCCCCGGAAGAGTTGTTATGTCTTGTCAAATGTATCAACACAAAAACGGGCGTCATCGGGGAAGACGGACAAATCGATTTTGAAAAAATAAAACTCATTCCTACTATTGCGAAGATGGATGAAGGAAAACAGAATGAACTGAAGGAATGTGCCAAAAATGTGGGACCTATTAAGGAGTGTTCAGACATAGAGAAACTTCGATCGTGTTTGCCTGAAGGTATAAAAGAGTGAAGTCGATGTTAAATGATGTATGCAACCTGTCACACTAAATAAATATTTCTCAATATTTTTTGACTTCATAATTGATCACCTATTATATGATATTTCTAATATACTTTTATATTAATTATTGTTAATTCAAATTATACAACTGGATTATAAATACATTGGCAAAAATCACGTTATTATTATTACCACGCTGCTATGATTCTCTTAAGTCTACATCCGTTTTCAAAATTATTTAACAACTTCTATTAAATTATTAAATTATTTTCACGGATTTATTAACTTAAATTTAATTAAATGCGTAAGTCAGACGTCAGCACGATATACCTATATAATTACATATGTAGCACTTTAGTAATAATAATTCAGTTGAACCAACTGCTCTGTGAATATGTTGAAATACGCGATAATATACTGCAGTTTCATTCTAGTGGAACACCTAATGCAGGTAAACATTTTATCATTATTGTTGCTCGTAGTTCAATTTTTACAACCAAGAAGTAAAATTTGATTTTAGACTACAGTTAATGAAAACATCTTTGAAGAATGTAGAATCGAGCTTGGAGTGAGTGAAGAAGACGTGGTGATTAAATCTTTTAGTAATTTAACTGATGTCCAACAATGTTACCTGAAGTGCACGTCCCTAAAGAACGGTTACATCACAGACGATGGACAAATTTCGGTAGAAAAAATGAAAAGTGATCGCATAATTGAAGAAGAAGAAGACATTCTTGAGAAATTTTATGGTTGTTTAGGTGACGTGGAACGTATCGAAGGATGCGATATCACCGAAATGATAGAATGCTTCCAAATTCAGAACTAACATAGAAAAATGAAAATTTTGTAGATACAATATATACAGGATGATTGCTAGTATATTGATTAACAATTTTATAAACGCTTCTTTAGACACGAGTTGCTTTAGGCACGAGCGGAGCGAGTGTTTAACGAAGGAGTGTTTTGAGCACTTCATAAATGTGTTATTTACTACTCCTATGATTTTATGAATTTAAATTAAAACCATAATTATGAAAAATTTGAAATTTATTACCCTACAAAATGTTAATACGTAAGTAAGTTTGAGTTATTCTGTCCACAATATTTCTTGGGTGGATTATTATTTATTTATATAAAATACCGAGTGACTATTAATGTTTGTGGTTTTTTTGTAAGGTTGGCAACATTTTTTAACGCTCATGTAAAAATTGACACCTGTGAACTGACAGCCTAACATTGCTGCCAATAATTCAGAATTGCCAACCCAAAAATTGGCTTCCATCATTAATGGTCACCCGGTACTAATTCACTCTTTATCATGAATATTTCAGCTGTACATACTCTGGTGACACAGGTAACAAATTATTCTTCAAAATGAAGGAAAAAGGAGTTTCCCATTTAAAAAATCGGTCGGAGGTTGTTTCGACAGAACTTTCCTCGCGCCTGAAGTGCTGCCCAACAAATTCCGCTTCTTTAAAAAATTATAAAACTTGAGTTTGCGTTTTTTAATTCAATTTAAAAGTCGAAAAATTAAAAAATTGGAAAGCAGAAAAACTGAAAAATCAAAAATTTTGAAAATCGATAAACTGAAACACCTAAAAGTCGAAAAATCGAAAGATCGAGCATCGAAATATCAAAAAATGAAAAAATTTAAGGTTTAAAACATCGAAAAGTTAAAAAACTTAGAAATTGAACAATCGAAAAATCCAAAAATCAAACATTTTTCAAACCCATAAATTGAAAACCCTAAAAGTCGAAAAATCGAATATAAAAACATTTTTACAAAAATGAAAAGCTGAAAAACCTAGAAATTGGAAAGCTCCCAAAATTTGAAACGTGGAAAAATTGACAAATTGAAAACTTGGAAAAATGAAAAATCTAAAGTCGAAAAATTTTAAAAGCCCAAAGACCGAGATCTCGAGAAGTCGAAAATTCGAAAAATCCGAAAAATTTAATTAAAAAATCGAAAAATAGGGAAACGGAAAAATCGAAAAATGTAAAATTAAAGAGATTGAAAAAATAAAAAATCGGGAAACAAAAAATTGAAAAAACGAGAAATCGATAAATCGAAAAATCTAAAATTTAAAAAATCAGAAAATTAAAAAGTCGAGAAATCGAAACATTCCAAAACTAACATGACGAAAAGTTGGGAAATCGAAAAATTGGAATTTGAAACATCAAAAAATTGGAAAAACAAAAACACTAGATTTTTCGATTCTTGAAATGTTGGATTTCCCGATTTTTCAATTTTTCGATTTTCACTCAATTCTTAATTTTTTTTTTATTTTTCAAGTTTTTAAAATTATTAACATTTGGAATTTTTAAATTTCAATTTTGACTTCCTTCTATTTTTCAGTATGTATTTCAATTTCTCAGTTTAACAATGTTTCAGTTTTGGGGTTTTTCATTTTTCGATTCTTCAATTTTTCTTCCATGTTTCAATATTCGGATGCTTGAACTTTTCGATTTCTCAATTTTTTACTTTTCGATTTTTCAGTTTTTTGATGTTTCGATTTTTCTATTTTCCGATTCTTCAATTTTTCGATTTTTCGACTTTGATGTGAACTGAAATGAATTAAAGCAGATAACTAAGGGAAAAAAATGCTTTTCGGATATTGAGAAATCGAACAATTAAAGAATTCAAGCACCCGAATGTCAGTAAATCTAGACATCAAGAAAATAAAAATATTTAAAAATTGAAAAATTAAAAAATCGGAAAATCAAAAAACCGGAAAAAAAATCAAACATTTTAAAAACCGAAGAATTAAAAACCCTAAAAGTCGCAAAATCGAATATCGAAATACCGAAAATTTACAAAATCGAAAAGTTGAAAAACCTAGAAATTGAAAAGCTCCTAAAACTTGAAATGTGGCAAAATTGACAAATTGAAAAACTTGTAATACCGAAAAAGCTAAAAATTTAAAAATTTTAAAAACCGCAACACGAGAAATCGAAAATTGGAAAAATTTAAAAACTGAAATGGGAAATAGGGAAATGGAAATAGAGAAAAACCTAAACCCGAAAAACTGAAAAATCGAAAAATGTAAAATTTAAAAGATCGAAAAACTCAATATCAAAAAACTGGAATAACAAAAAAAACTAGATTTTTCGATTCTTCAAATTTTTCATTTCCCGATTTTTCAGTTTTACCATATTTCAATGTTTCAATTTATCGATTTGGATTTTTAAATTTTTAAATTCTTGACGTTTCTAAATTTTCGATTTATCAACTTCTCGATTTCTCGATTTTTCAGTAATTCAATTTCCAATATTTTTGGGAATTTTCATTTTTCGATTCTTCAATTTTCCTTCGATTGTTCAATATTTCGATTCTTCAACTTTTCGATCTCTCAATTTTTTACTTTTTCGAAAAATCTAAAACTCTAAAAATTTTAAAAACGGAAACATCGAGATGCCGAGAAATCGAAAAATCCAAAAGATTAAATTAAAAAATGAAATCAGAAAACGATCGAAAAATTGAAAAATCGGGAAACAGAGAATCAAAAAAAAACGAGAGATCGATAAATCGAAAAATCTAGAATTTAAAATATCGAAAAACTGGAAAATCGAGAAATCGAAACATTCCAAAACTGACATAACAAAAAATTAGGAAATCGAAACATCAAAAAATTGGAAAATCGAAAAGTTGAAAAATCGAAAGAACCAAAAATCAAAAACACCGAAACATCGAAATATCGAAACATTGAAAAATGAAAACATCGAGAAATCCAAACATAAAACGATCGAGAAATCGAAACATGAGACGATCGAAAAATTGAAACTCGACTAGTAGAAATGTCGAAAAATCGAAAAGTTGAGTAGTGGAAAAGTCGAAAAATAAAGAAAACGAAATAGCCCAAAAACGAAAATTAAAATTTGAAAAATTGAAAAACCTCCAATCAAAAAAAAATTGTCGAAAGTTATTTCGACAATTGTACCTGGAGTACAATAAAACATATCCAACTTCTGAGAAAAATGATAAAATTTGATTTTGCAAATTTAATTTTTTTATAAGAACATTGGCAAAATTTCGAGATGACGGGGATATACATATATATATATATATTTTGATTAAAAATTTACCATCGTTGCGATAAGCTTAGAACGTTTGCAAGATTTCAGAGCATTCGGTTTTGCAGTTTCAAAGTTAAATTGCAAAGTGTTATACAATTTTGCATTTTTCCCAAAAATCTGGATGTTTAGCGTGAAAATTCAACACGGGTTCATACACCACAAATGCAAGAGTATCTTATTTTATAAAATTGAAATAATATTCATGCAATGTCAAGAAAACATAAAAGTAGCCAGTCACCCCCCGACAGACTCGATTACAATACTTTCTTTGCTTGCGCTCATACGTTTATATTTCAAGGGGGAGGAAAGTTGTATGTAAGTAACCTTAAGCTACATTTTTATTCTCTTATTCCTTCCACCAGGTTTTTATTTTTTGGTGTCTATTGAATTTATCTAATTTTTTAATTATTTCATGTTTAAGTTAAATGCCTGAACCTGCACTGTAATTTGATGCTTTTTTACTTTTCACAAGAATGCAGGGCCATCTGCGCCCTTATCGAGATCAAGTGGATGCGGGCGCTGGGAACCTTGGGACGTTGGCTACGCTTTATTGTCGCCCATATGTGCATTACAGTGGACCATACCAAACGTCGCCAGTTGTTGCGAACTCCCTAATACTAATAAAATGGCTAGAAAAATGTTACGGATGATTTCAAGTTAAGAAAATGTATTTAGTCCGAATTGGATATGCTTGCTTATTACGAATGTTCAGTATACTGAAACTCTGAAATTTAAAATTGAACACTGTGCTAGAAACAGTATGCACTTGGGCGATTGGAAACACCCCTAATTTTTAACACGAAGGGATGCTCTTTAAGAGGGGCTGTGCTCTTTAAGTAGCTTTTACGATTTCTAGACATCCTTGAAATTTTTTGTGGGCCCATGTGCAACCGAAATCTCTGAGAAAGAATTAATTTTTTCCTAGCCTAACATGCATACAAAATTTCTTTAAATGACCCGTGACAGTGTGACAGATATTTTTCAGATCTACGAAACACGATTATCCATTCGCTTAAAATTTCAAATCGTAACGTCCAATATAGTTATTTATTATCGCACTAATAAATGATTGGCCGCCCAGTATAGTTAAAATGTATGTTTAGGAAATATCGTTGTACTCTATAAAATTTTATTGACAAGAACGAGGCGGACAGTAGTACAATGGTAAGAAATATTTGTGGCTCACACCAGTCCACCCGAATTTGTCCGAGAACTTGGGAATTGTACGCACAGGGTCGGACTTCCGCTGTTTTAGAAGAGTAAGTAAAATACCGTGTCACCCGTTTTCCTTAATTTTAGCTACTTCATTCATTCTTACGACCTGTCACATTGCGCTTCTTTCTTCTATAACTCTCTGTGTTTGTTTAAAAAATTAGTAGAATTTAACAATAACTATTTATATTGGTAAGTTTTTTCTTTTAAATTTAATAATATGCTAGGAAAAAGAGAGGAAAAACTTTATCGTCAGATGCAAAACAACTACTTAATTCTTTGTTGTTATTTCACACTGGTGTCAGAAACTAATGTATGACCGATCCTCAGAACGGCAAAATTGTTACAAATTTCGGAAAATACGGTGAAATTTATTAAAAAAAAAAGACAAGCAGTACAGTTAATTCTGTGTAAAATCTAACATTTTTTAATGAATTTCGACCTCTAGATGTTACCTTCGGCCACATTTCACCGAAAACATGTTTCCCAGAATCGTCCAACGAAATACGACAATTTTTATAAGCCAGGTGAGGTTTAGTTACGTCAGGTCAAGACAGGTCAGAATTTAAAAAAATGATCGGAGGTTATTTCGATAGAACTTCCCTCGGCCCTAATTTACGATACAAAAATATGAAAGTGGCAATTCGGCCGATGGAATCGATTACTATACTTCGCCCGGGAAGTAAAAACAACTTCAAGCAAAAAAACCTTGTTAAAATAAAAGTATGTATGCATGTAAAGTAAAAGTAAAGTTTTTCAATTACAAAATTACAAAATGCTAACAATAACAATTCTGTATTCCCAAATTTTCGGAAAACTGGAATGTGCCGTTGTTGATTTAATGAATTATCATCCTGTATAAGTGATCCCAAAAACTATGATTGCATTGAAACACCACAAGTCTAGACTCATAATGTTTTGCACATTTCAGAGAAGATCTATTCGGCAAAATTTTGAGAGACGTCATCACTTTTTAGGAGGGGATAAACGAATAAATTTTGATTAATGATTCACCATGATTATGATAAGCTTAAAACGTTAAATTGCAAATCGTTGTTAGATATTTTTTGACTTTTTTCCAAAAATTTGGACGTCTAGGGTGAAAAATCAACACGTATTCATATGCAACAAGTGCAGGAGTATCTTATTTTATAAAATTAAAAAATACTGTTGTAAATTTTGGAGATGACGTCAACCCATTGGTGGTGGCGACGATTTTAAGCAACTTTTGGTTAGCGTTTTACCAACTACGTCATATTCCCAATATACGTTGATAACAATCGGTCCAGTAGTTTCGGAGATTATCCGTCTAATATAAACCGACACAGACGGAAGACTGATTTTTTCATAATTTAGGGGTCATGACATGTCCGGAAAATTTGAAAGTAATCAGTTGACGAATGGATTCCGTTACTGTACTTAGCTTACGCTTGGGAAGGAAAAAAATGAATTTCAAACCGAACATCTCTAAAATCTTTCTCCGAGGGCATTAACAAGCTATAATTTTTGGAGAAATGTGATTTTTTTGTGGAGAAAACTTTTTCAAAACCTTAAATTTTTGATACTCCTTAGAATATTTTGACATTCTATATTTGAAAGTTACCTAAAGGGATTATCTTTCTAATTTCTAACTCTTTTTTGTCACCGAAAATTGCTACTTTTTTTTTAAATAGTTGAAATTAAATATGGTAATTTTTAAGAAATTTGAAAATTTTGATTTTGAAATCCATATCAACTTGAGATTACATACGTCGCTTGATAGACCTATTATTCCTGCGAAAACAGATTTGAGAAATGTGTACTGTGAAACTCGGTTTACAATAATTATGGTGTGAACAGTAAAATATTAATAATTTTGTTTTCTTTTTTCTCTGCCAAAATTTGATCTACAATTTTGTTAAGTAAATTTGAAGTAATTCAAAGTATGCTAAATAACGCGTTTTTCTACTAGTAGATTCTTTTCTTCTTTCTAATCATGTTTTGTGATGAATGTTTCATTCGTTATCACATCGAGGGTCAGAGCTTAATTGCAAAGCCCATTTTTGTTTACAAAAATTTACCATTTTAAAGAGGTTGTAAGTTTCTTGTTTTTAAAAGATGACTACGTATATTTAAAAAAATGGCAAAATATAGAGCCCCACCCGCCCGCCCTATCTCAATTGTCATGATTTTTTTTTATTCGTCGTGGGGCAAGGGGGCGGAGCTTAATTGCAAAATCCTTACTATTTGCCTACAAGAAATTACCATGTAAAACATGTTTTGAAAATCTTGTTGTTCAAGGAATACTATGTATATTAAGTAAAAATTAAAGCCAAACATAAAGTCCCATCTATACCAGCCCCGATCTAAATAGTAACGAAGTTTTCATTCGTTGCCAGACCGAGGGGCGGAGCATAATTGCAAAGTCAATATTTCCTTACAAGAATTTACCATTTTGAACATGTTTTAAGTTCTTGCTGTGAAAAGATGACTACGAATATTATGAAAAAAAGCAAAATATAAGCTCCGCCCACCCACCCTATCTCAATTGCGATGATTTTTTTTATTTGTCGTGAGCCTAGGGGGCGGAGCTTAACTAGAAAATCGTTATTTCGCCGCAAAGTAGCTACTCAAGTTTTTGTTATTAGGAGAAATTTTTCATGTCGATTCAGATGCTGCTAGACTGACATATTTTAGTGTATTGCATCATCAAACGATTTATTGTGAAAATACATTACACTGTATAATTATACAGCTAAATCTAGCAACAATTAGAATTATTATTATTATCACCTTCGGGTATTTTACTTTACTTACCTATCTAGTCAGGTCAAGCAGTCTTAATGAAGAATTTCATTCCTAAAAAGCATGTTTTCAAAGCAGAAGGTCAACGTTCATTGTTTCCCGGGCTCGATTATAAGATGTTTAACCGAAATTTGTGCTAGAATTAAGTGAATTATTACACTAAAGTACAAATTTGTTGTGATTTTATTCTCAATAATATTAAAAATAAAAATATGCCTTGTTGCTGTTAAAATAGAATTTATTAAACGATATTATAACATTTTTTTTTACTCCACTCTGAAAAAATATATTGTTGTAATAACCTCTTCTCACCTAGTGTTTTGTGATACATATTTTATTGCCGGAAATTATTACCTCATCGACAATTTTTTTCCAATAATTTGCACACGGAAGTACTTATCTTCATTATACAAAAATAAATTCCTATTGCAATTGCTATAAAAGAAACACATGTGATCATCACTGACAAACACACCAAGCTCAAAATGTTCGCGTCAACAACACTTCTTCTTTTACTGACTTCATGTGCTTCATTTTTTATCACCCTGGTAAGTCATAGTTAATATAAAATCAAAATAACAAAAACACAAAAATATAGGCCACAAACGACCCGACTGAAATGGTCCAAATAACCCAGGCCTGTTTAAACGAATCTGGTGCCACAATGGAAATGGTTAGAAATTACAAACCAAGCAAGAAAGAACCCGAGAAAGAACTTTTGTGTTTTATTAAATGCAATTTTGAAAAAATGGGATATGTTATGGACAATGGGACGGTGTGTGTGGAGTCTATGAAAGAGGATGGTTTTATTGAGGCCCCGGATGACGACAAAGAGACGATTTATGAGTGTTTAGAGGGAGTAGCCGGGGTGGAGACGTGCGAGGATGCCTGGGATTTGGAAAAATGTGTTGTGGGAATTAGCGACGAATGATTTATAAATACACAAAATTAGTGAAGAGGTTACAATAAATTTGGTTTCGACAAGATGGAGACACACTGCATATATTATGCGGCGGATCACCATATTATTTTCATTAATAATAGTCAAGACTGTTTGTAAAAAAATATATTTATATAGGTAAGAACAGAGTTTTACATAGTATACAATATACAATCCTCTATACAAAACGGATTTGGTATCACTTTAACTAGATTTATCCATCCATACGCATAATCACAAATTTTGTCTTAACAAATCAGGACTTTAGAGTAAAGCAATCAATTAATTCCGTGACTTTATCGCAGTCTTTGACACTCTCGATATTACCAACACACCCATAAACCTTTTCTAATCTCACGTTATTTCCGTCAACAATTATATCCTTTTTCATAGCTTCGACAAGAATTTTCCCATCGGCTCCAATGTAGCCCCCTTTTTCGAACAGACACTTTATGTAACACTTCTTCGTTTGGGACAGCGCTTCGTTCGCTTTCAGCGACCGCGAATCTTCCTCTGTTAAGTCTGTTTCTTCACGGCACTGTTGTTTCACTTCTTCGGTTACACGCCCTTCGCTCTAAAAAAAAAAAAATACAGGCTAAAGATGGATTTTTTTTTTTAAATTAAAAAAAACTTACAGCGGTTAGCCCAAGTAGGGTGATTACAAGACTAATGGCCAAGTATTTCCACATGGTATGTTCTGATTCCTTTCACTGTCACTAGCTTAATGAGCTCTAGAAATCAATTTTACGTGATAACCTTGCATAATTATCGTCTTTTGAATATCATTGACATATTTGTTTTTCAAATTATCTCATTTAATAATAGAATTGCAAAAAACAAAAGCAGGACCTTTGCGTAAACAAGTGAATAAAAAATAGGAAGTGCAGTTGTAGAAATCGGATCGTACGGTTTGACTGGTTTCAGACTTCATAACTACGGTTTTATGATAATATAATGAAATTCCTGTCATTCTAGCTTTAAAAAAGGAAAAAGAAAAAAGTGGAAAATGCAGCGATCGACAAAACAATGCTTTCTTTTAATGTTTTATTAATATTTTTCTCTGCAGCACACATTAAAAATTTCACATGTTAAAACCACCTTGAAATTCTTGAACACCGAAGGTAAATTCCTTGAATAGTTTTCTATTTGTTCGTTTAAGGAAATTAATAAAATTCCGGTTCAAGACAGTGTAGTTGGGCGGTATTAAATTTATGCGAAATAACATCATGCACAACGGTTTAGTTTTCTAAAATTTAAGTGATGATTTTTTTGTACTAAAAATTGTATTAACTGAAAACCTACTTCTTCCTCATATATCGACTGTCGAGCCTTGATTTTTTTTGTAAACATTGTGACGTATGTCTACAATAAACCTAAAATTTAATCGATGACACCTGACTTAACCTCACTTTTTCCTATAATAAATCTTCTCTCTAAAGACAGCATTTCACATATAAATTTCAAATAAAAAAAAATACTCCTACATTTTAGGAAACAATTATTTTTATGACTTACACAAAAATACCCTATTTCGTTGTAGATGAAATCTTGTGGACGTTATGTTGTGTATTTCTTAATGTTATATTTATATGAAAATCAACACAACTTTTTTCTACCTAACGTTGGTAGTTTAAACAGAAAAAAAATAGCGATGCTATCGATCTAGTACATGGCTAAATCTGAGCTACAGTTCAGACTTTTTTGTCCTAATTTAGTTAATATAACTTGTTTAACACAAATTTAGTTGAGTAATAGAAGAGATTAAAATCAGTTTCCTGAAGCAAACGACCTCATTAGTAATGTAAAAAATACTCAAAGTGTCCATTAAAAATTCAAATGTATTAAAGAAAATAATCTGAAACACCTTGGCCGCTTGAACTAGTTCTAATGGGGTACTTGGTTGAAACCAGCAGTAGAGGAACAAACCATAAGTCTGTAAAGAACAGAGTTTTTATTAAGAACTGTGGTAAAAATGATAAACCAAAACCAAAGAAAATTCCAAGAAACAGAAAATAAAGAATGTTTGTGTTCTAGACGAATAAATTGGAATGTATTATTATAAGTAATTTGTTTATATTAATCTAGTTTGTTTCTTATTTTAATATATAGCCTGTGAGCAATTCTACAATTGTTATTGTTACCTTGTTAGTTTTTAAATTTGCGCGCCTAATAATAACGTGATTACAATGTGACGTGCTAATTGGTGACCAAAGTTCCTAAAATTAGTACTAATTTACTAAATTAGTACTTGCTAAGATAGGACTGATAAAATAAGACTGAGTTTGGCACTTTGACATTTTCGACCATTTTTCAACTATTTTCGAAAATTAATTGAAGACACTGTCTTGTAGATTTCGATATCCAGAAGTCATTTACGACTTTGTTTCTTCGGAAATTCCTACCGTTTTTGCAAAATCGCTTATAGATAGATAAAAAACGAAATTATTATTAATTTTTATTTCGCAAAATACAATTGTTTCAAGACTGTACTTTGTAGTTTTTATATACTTATTTACAGAAACCGCCGGCTGAGAACTTGTTTGATCTACAGACCAGAGTGCACTCAGGCTAGTGACGACTCTAAGCGTTCAGAAACGATTTGAACTATAAGTCATATTCAGTCATCTGATACACCTCCTAATCGGTTCCCATCATAATTTTTCTATTTTTTAAGGGTTCGATTTTTCGACTTACTTTTTTGATTTTTCAATTTTTTAATTTCTCAGTTTTTGAATATTTCAGTTTTAGGTTTTTTCAGTTTTCCTTTCATTTTTCAATTTCTCGAAATTTCAGTTTTGGGATTTTTCAGTATATTTATTATTCAATTTTTCGGTTTTACAATTTCTCAATTTTTCAATTCCACGATTTTCAATTTTTCGATGTGGCAATTTTACGCTTTTCCAATTTGTTCTTCAATTTTACGATTTTTCAATTTTTTAAGGTTTTGATTTTTCGATTTCACTTTTTTGACTTTTTGAATTTTCAGTTTTTTAATTTCTCAGTTTTTGGATACATATTTCAGTTTTGAGATTTTTCCGTTTTTCCATTCTTCAGTTTGTCTTTTATTTTTCAATTTTTTGAAATTTCAGTTTTGGAATTTTTCAAATTATTCATTATTATTTCGGTTTTACAAGTTCTCAATTTTTCAATTTTTCGATTTTCCAATTTTCCGATGTTTCAGTTTTACGTTTTTTCAATTTGTTTTCTCTTCAATTTTACGATTTTTAAATATTTCGATTTTTCAATTTCCTCATTTCTTGACTTTCGACTGTTTCGATTTTCCAGTTCTTCAATTCTTCTATTTTTCTACTTTTCAGGTTTTTGATTTTTCAATTTTTCGATTTTGTTTAAAAGTTTCGATTTTCGACTTCACTTTTTTGATTTTTCAATTCTTAGATTCTCAGTTTTTGGATACTTCAGTTTTGGGATTTTTCAGTTTTTCCGTTCTTCAGTTTTTTTTCATTTTTCAGTTTTTCGATATTTCAGTTTTGGGATTTTTCAAAATTTCGATTCTTTGACCTTTCCGATTTTTGACATCTGGATTTTTCGATGTGTCGAATTTTTACTTTTTCGATTTTTCAATATTTCGATGTTTCAATTTTACGTTTTTCCAATTTTTCTCCTCTTCAATTTTACGATGTTTAAATATTTCGATATTTCAATTTTTCAAATTTGATTTTTATAAACTGTCAGTTTTTCGATTTTTCATTTCTTCAAGTTTTCAAATTTTTAGGTTTTTGATTTTTCAATTTTTTGGTTTTGATTTTCCAAATTCACTTTTTTGACTTGTTGATTTTTTAGTTTTTTAATTTCTCAGTTTTTGGATACATATTTCAGTTTTGAGATTTCTCAGTTTTTCATTCTTCAGTTTTTCTTTCTTTTTCAATTTTTCGAAATTTCAGTTTTGGAATTTTTCAAATTATTCATTATTATTTCGGTTTTACAATTTCTCAATTTTTCAATTTTTGATTTCTCAATTTTTCGATTTTTCAGTTTTACGTTTTTTTAATTTTTCTCCTGTTCAATTTTACGATTTTTAAAAATTTCGATTTGTCAATTGACTTCTAAATTCTCAATTTTCTCATTTCTTGATTTTCAACTGTTTCGATTTTCCAGTTCTTTAATTCTTCAATTTTTCTATTTTTCAGGGTTTTGATGTGTCAATTTTTCGATTTTTTTAAAGGTTCCGATTTTTCGACTGCACTTTTTTGATTTTTCGATTTCTCAATTTCTCAATGTTTTAGATTCTCAGTTTTGGGATTTTACAGTTTTTCGATTTTTCAATATTTCGATACTTCGAATTTTCGATTTTTGACTTCTGGATTTTTCGATGTGTCGATTTTTTTGATTTTTCGATTTCTCAATTTTTCAGTTTTTTAGATTCTCAGTTTTTGGATATTTCAGTGTTGGGATTTTTCAGTTTTTCCATTCTTCAGTTTTTTTTTTTCATTTTTCAGTATTTCGATATTTCAGTTTGGGGATTTTTCAATATTTCGATTCTTTAACTTTTCGATTTTTCACTTCTGAATTTTTCGATATGTCGATTTTACTTTTTCGATTTTTAAATTTTTCGATTTTTCAATTTTACGTTTTTCCAATTTTTCTCCTCTTCAATTTTACGATTTTTAGATATTTTGATATTTCAGTTTTTTAAATTTGATTTTTATAAACTATCAGTTTTTCGATTTTTCATTTCTTCAATTCTTCAAATTTTCAAATGTTTGGGTTTTTGATTTTTCAATTTTTTAAGGTTTTGACTTTTCGATTGCACTTTTTTTACGTTTTGATTTTTGAATTTTTTAATTTCTCAGTTTTTGGATACATATTTCAGTTTTGAGATTTTTCAGGTTTTCCATTCTTCAGTTTTACTTCCATTTTTCAATTTTTCGAAATTTCAGTTTCGGAATTTTTTAGATTATTTGTTATTCAATTTTTCGATTTTACAATTTCCCATTTTCCGATGTTTCAGTTTTATTCAATTTTTAGATTTTTCCCATTAATCGATGTTTTGATTGTTTTGATTTTCCCATTCGACTTTCGACTATTTCGAATTTCCAGTTCTTCAATTCTTCAATTTGTCTATTTTTCAGGTTTCTGATTTTTCAATTTTTCGATTTTGTTGAAAGTTTGGATTTTTACACTTCACTTTTTGATTTTTCGATTTCTTAATATTTCAATTTTTTAGATTCTTAGTTGTGGGATTTTTCAGTTTTTCGATATTTCAGTTTTGGGATTTTTTAGTATTTAGATTCTGCGATATGTCGATTTTTTTAGTTTTTCGATTTTTCAATTTTTCTATTTTTGACTTTTCAATTTTTTGATATTTTAATTTTTCAATTTTCAAAATTTTATATTTTCCGATTTTTCATTTCAGTTCTCCGATATTTTAATTTTTCATGATTTCCAATTTTTTAAAAGTTTCGATTTCTTATTCCTTCCATTTTTCGATTAAAAGTTTTAGATTTTCTGTTTTTCAATTTTTCGTTCGTTCAAATTTTCGATTTTTTAAAAATTCATTTTTTAAATTGTTCTATATTTCAGTGTTTTGATTTCCGGATTTATCGAGATTTGGCTGTTTCGATATTTTGATTGTTCAGTTTCTCGATTTATCAGTTTTTTAACTTCGATTTTATATTTTGGCCTATTTGGTTTCTCAGTTTTTCCATTTTTCAGTTTTTTTGCTTTCAGATTTTTCGATTTTCCAATTTTTCAACTTTTCGTTTTTTCGATTTTGGCCTATTTCGGT